ACATACGTAATCGCAGTGTTCGGCTAACAATAGCCAATAGATCAACAAAAACCTCTTGTCAGAGTTAGTACTTAGCTCTTTAGACGAAAACGGTTAGGCCATCGGGGTCGTTTATTGTTAGGCTACAGTTTATAGACAAACGACACAGTGCTGCAAACACATTCATATGCTAAATTTTAGATCTTCAGCGGAGATATAAGCCTTACGTCAAATGAATCTACTAATAATATTATAAATACAAAGAGTTTGTTTGTTTGTTCAAACAAGATTCAGAAGTGACTAAGATTAGCAACTACTGGTTCGATTTAAGAAATAGGGTATATTGCATCAGGCTGCGAGCAATGGGCGCGAAAAAAGAGAGGAAAATGTTGCGGGCTTCCGTTGCGTACGCTGCGAAAACAGAACAAGATAGCCAAACAGTTTTGTATTAAATAATGGTTTTTCTTTTGATCTAAGTAACGCACTAGAACTGTCTTTATGGTAATCACATTTAGTCAAAACACTCCACATAACCAATAAACGCTTGCCAGGTCGGCTAGTTATTTATTATGTACCTTACGTATAAGGACTAACATTTTGTCTGTATTCGATATTACAAAAAAAAACACGATGGGAAAATGTAAGCAAGTGTTTAAGGTAGGTTTTTTAATGTTGCAAACATTAAAAAGCTAGTACAACATTTGCGAAGATTTTGCATTTCTCCATTCCATAATTGTCCCTCTATCCTATAAAGACTTATCTCAATATTAATCCGACTAATTGTTGTTTAGACAGCGTTAATTATGCCGAAATGCGAAAAATCATAAAAGTATACGTTCTACTTAAAAAACACGCTTCACTAAAGCTGTTAAATCAAAATTTTCACAACTGCACGCTCGTAAACTGTGGCCTTGTGTTAAATGATCGATAATTTCACTGTTCTTTATGTAAATAGAACAAGTGTGAATTGTGTAATGCCCAATTGAATCTGAGCGAACGAGATAATTCGAATACACCATTGTGCAAATAATGCATGACGGCCGCAAGTTATTTGAATAAAACTCTAGTAACGGTTTAAAACTGGAAGTGTATTGAGAAGCATTTGGATGCTATGCCGCAACGTCCCACCTGTCTCCCCGCGACCGCGGCGCTGCATCATTGTTACACATTTGGTAATAAGTTTGACTTAAATACCATTTCACGTGTTATCACAGCGAATCTCGTTCGCGCTGGGTCGACCCCAACTTTCCAATTTTTATGAAATATTTTGAACTTTGTCTGGAAATCTGGATATTGAATGGATGGATTAAATATCGAAATTCCGTCCGGGTCCCCACGACCCACTGTCCACAGATGAAGAGGCTTGAAGTTTAGTCTGTAGATTTCGAAAATCCAAAGCCAAAAGACGTTGACATCGCATCAAGTTTAGATGCACCTTCCGTCGAGTGAACGCCATGCTCGTCTGTCCTACTCTATCATCGTAAACAAAACGTATATTCTCTAAATACTTTCGTCTCTCATTGTGGGTTTCATTTAGAACTTGTTAAGTCACTTCTTGTTTAACATAATAAAATAAAACTTTTAAAAGGAAAATATAAAGCATCCAGAAAACGAAGACAAACAACGCCGCGTGCGGCTTGTACAACCTGAGCACACCAGCCAATTGTTAATAAAACCCTAAATATATTAGTTAAATTATTTACAAATTGTTTTAACTACGCCCCGAAGTCGCGGATGCGTCGCAGCAGCCGTGGCTACGGGGAGACAAAGCCAATGATTCTGCGCGTTTTATTCCGTTTAAATGTGTAGGAAGGACCCTTCTAGAGAAAGACCTAGCTTGTAGAATCGCCATAGAAGCGATGATGCGCAGTAAATGGACTAAGCGGGAATACATAATTCATTTCTCTCGAATGTACGGCGGGGACAGAACTGGGTTAATGGTCGACGCACGCGGGAGTACCCTCACAAGTTATACTGCATTTGAATAATTTTCAACTCGGGTAAAACTGCGGTTACGCGTCGTACCGCTTCCGCGACGTTATGCTTTCATACGATTTCATAATTGTTTCTATTCTGGACTAGGAGTCGCCGAACTTAACTCACAAATGTAATGCAAAGCAAGATTGAAGCACTGCTATTCTGCAGATCAACTTTAAAGATTTGATGATGAAATTGATGAGACAAGAATAAATTCGAACAAAACAAGTAACCAGTATGAAGTAAGACTAGAAACTAGTCAAATATACTGAACAATCCATTTATATCCAAAACAAACTACGGCCCGACGTTTCGTATGCTTTGCAGTAGCCGTGGTCACGGGGGGACAAAATGAAGGGTATCTCTTAATGTCCACGTCAAAATTACTATTGCAAACTGCAGACAATATATTTAGTCCTAATAATAAACACGTTCTGTAAATTTTGGATTACTAACATATATACGAAATCATACCATATTTAAAGAAAACACTTTAACGGTTTAAAACGCGATAAATTAGTTAACCTTATTTCAAAATGATTGTTAACTTCGGCCCGACGTTTCCCCGTGACCACGGCTGCTGCAAAGCATCCGAAACGTCGGGACGAAGTTAAAAATCATTTTCAAATACGTTTAACTAATATATCGCGTTTTAAACCGTTAAAATGTTTTCTTTAAATGTGTACTACTCGCGTAAACTATAGACAGTGTTTAATCATACCATATTGTTCTTCTGCCATGTGAGTGAACTGAGTCGATTAAATCTGGAGCGACGAAACAGCAACGATTTAATCGTTTCGCACACAATATGGGGATAGGGCCTTGGAGCGTGTCCCACTTTTCATTGGACACATCGCACACGCACAGTCGATACGTAGTTTCGCCCGGGAAACTATGCTAATATTACTGGTGCGAACTCAGAAATTGTGTTATGGATGAAGGCAAGGCGGGCTTCTGTTGCGTGCGCTGCGAAAATACTCCCAGATCCACAAATGATTTCTATTTAAATAATCTCGGAAAAGGCCGCGGGTAACAGCTAAAATTGACGAAGATGAAAGAGATTTGTAAAAATGCATTTAGATAGCCAGATTGACTATTCTACGCGGATGAGGCAGCTGATACAGCTAGTATAATATATTACAACTATAAAATGACCTGTGACCTCCTCACGTGAGAGGGTCTTTATATCAAAAATACAGATAAAAAAATTTAGATCGAAAAAACAAAAATTACATCATTAGTGGGTCTCGAACAGGCATCCACAGTGATCCGTGCTGTTGCTCTAACCGTTAACACGTTTACCGTTTCGGCGACTGCGCCGCAAGTACGAGGCCCGTTCCCAAAGGTGTCGATTCCGCTGCTAACCGCAATTCCCATGCGCCATAACCGAGCGACATGCCCACCCCGCGTACTCCACATCTTCCGGTGTGACTTTCACGGAGAACTTTCCAAGTCTCAATTACGCGAACGAGATAAACGTATCTGTTGAGCGAATATGGCCAGTGTGTCAGCGGCCTACTGCGACTTCATCCGAACGACGGCTTCTTACTAGTGCGGGTCTGTTATCGGGGGTTCGGTTCCCGCTCGCAGCTGAATACCATGCCTTCACCTCCATTAGCATTTAAATTAAACACTTTTAAAGGTTTGAAACGCGAAATGTTTCGATTGCTCGCTTTATACCAACTACGAATGAATATATCCTAGACTCAAACACAACGCGTCATAGTAGTAATTAATTTGGCGTTTAACTCGATTCGAGCCCGTTACATTTGGATACAATACGCCCTGCACCTTCGTCGCCTCGGCTGCGGTCATTGAACTCGGGACCCGACGAACAATAGCAATTGCCAAAATGCCACGAGAAATTATTTCTGCTACATAGTAAACATTACAAGCGATAGTTTAAATTCGCGGTGGATCAGTCGTTAGGAACGAAAGGTTTGGGTTGGAATCCTGGCCATAATAACAATTAACAACATTAACACCACCTACATAATACAAAAAGCATGGTATTCTTTAGTATCTCAAAGGTAAATATTTTCTTATGACAGAAGGGGACAGCCGAGCTGGAGGTGGTTCATGGAAGATGAAATACCCAGCCGTAGAATATCCGACATACGATCCGTCGATCATTAGGCTGACTAGCCCGTCAAAATGTCTGTCTGTGTTGTATGTTGTAACAGACAGAAGCTGTTAAGTGACTTTAGCTTGTGCGTATTTGAAGATGACTGATTTACACAGATACAAACAATTGGATTTGTAGAAATGCTTGCGAAAATATTTATTGTATATTTTTCTAAGAATGAACGCAATATCCATTCCACGTAAAGCGAAGGATTTTAAAACAGCAAGGCCGATTGTTTCCAAGTCAATTTTACGGTGCATTTTTGCGTCCCATTTGTATTGCGCTGTTTCTGCTTGAGCTGAATTTTCATTTCATTAAAGGCGTATGTATTGTCTTAAAAGTGCCATACGAAGGTCCATATGCGACCTTCTTCCTGGCTTAGTATTTATATATCTTTATCTACATTAAAAACTTGTGCATTGGAGTATTTTTTTCCATTAATCGTGAAATGTTCTTTGTTGTGTGTGTGTTTTTATTAAATTTACCATTTAAAAGTGTTGACCTATTATCTGATAGTAACCATAACATCGTCACTGTAACGATTTATTCTGTAAAAAATGTCAAACAAATTATAAATAGAACACTTTACGGTTTAACTCGCTAACTTACTTTTTAAATTTAATTAACTTCGGCCTGACGTTTAAGGCATTGTAAACCGTTAAAAGTGCTTTATTTAAAGTACAGACAATAAGTACTTACGTCAAGCTATACTCACTCTTAACTCTTTAAACCCTGACCCGCGTTACAGTTTTTATGAACAGATAAAAAAACTGAAATCAATTTTAGAATACAAAACTTATTTCTATTTTATTTTTTCAAATAAAACTAAACTTTTTATTATTGTTAGGCTAATTAAACTACATTTACTTTTATTCATCTGAATCATCAGCTAAATGCTCAATTTTACGTGTTTCAGACGATGTACGAGTTGGGGAAATGCCTTCGCGAAGAAAGGCCCGGCACCAGATGTGACCTGTACCAAGAGGAGGACTGGGCGATCGCGCCCCCCTCGCTCCCCCCATCGCCCGATTCGCCTCTTTCGCCCCTATCGCCTGCGCCTTTCCCCGTTACAACTGTAAAGCATGAGCCCCTGAGTGATTCTGATGAGCTCAAAGGTATAATATTAGATTTATAGTTTAACTGTAACAAAAGGAAGCAGTGCGGTCCTCAAAGTTGTGTTCAACATTTTTTATGTCTTCCCCGAGACTCGAACTGACGGCAGCTGCCAACAGAACGCCGATAGCAATTCTAAAGCACTAGAATAAAGATTCAGATTTTTTTATTATACAAGAAGCTCACTCTTCACTTAAAGGTAGGCAAAATCCCCAGCCGTATAACATCTCCTTCACGGCTATCTCACCTACGGACGGCGTTTCGTGAAATAAATTCTGCGACGCTCGCCGCGGCTAGCTTATTCCAAAAAGGAAATGTAACTTTTCCGATCGTGAAAGTTAAACAGCGGACATCATCTGCTATCGAGGACAGCGCCGTTCGTTAACATCAACATGTTACTCCGTGACGTCACCGGCATCTGTCACGACTCAGACTGGACGTGCGTTATCGTGTTAGATAAAATTCCAGCTTGATTCTCAGCTGAGATGATCCTTCGCTCATGTCTTAACTTTAGAACGGCCACATTCTTTTTACGCACAAACAGTCATTATGTTCTTAGTGAAGAAGCAGATTGTCCGCCCTCATTGCTGAGATCGTCTTTAAGTGCTTAGGAATTGCACGCCTAAACGCTAGTTACTAACTAACGCTGCAATATGGCTGTCACGACCTATTATTGCCATTCTACCATATACATAATTTGTATAAAACATTTACATTTTAACAGTGACGGAAGTAATAAAATGAGTTACAAATTTATTTTTCTCTTTATCGTTTACCATCACTTACACATAGCTCTTTGCTTATTCCGCAGAGCCGCCATCCCCAGAAGCATTTCGCCCAGCACCAGCTCGGAAACACCCACCACGCCACCACACCCACCCGCACACCACGGATCCCAGACGGCGCGTGCACCGCTGCGAGTTTCCGTCTTGCGACAAAGTTTACACTAAAAGCTCTCATTTAAAGGCGCATAAAAGGACGCACACAGGTATAGCATTCATTCATTGAAGAGTCGCACACGACTGTGAACTAAATTTTACTATACTTTTATTGTACCATCGTGTGCAAAAAAATCTTTAAAATTTTCATTTTTGTTAAGATGCAAAGCCAACCTTAGTTTTTACCTAATGTATTAAGGTTGAAATTACTTCGTGCGAGCGGAACATGTAACAATAGGTTGAAAAAATTCGACGATGACGTGTAGGACACGGTAGGTCAATTATTGGTTAGAGCGGCACGATCCTGCTCGTGTCATTTTTTTTTAAATATAAAACGCTTTTTTTAACTAAAATAAGACAAAAATATACATGGGACTTGCGCTGATTTTCAGTGGTCCGAGGCGCCAGATACATGTCTTATTTGACACTTCCACGCACGAAATGTAAAACCCCTACGTTTTTTATCACTAGATTATCGGCGATATCACTTGATGCCATATAAGATTTGTATGTTTCCCCAGTTCAAAAATCCGGTTGCAAGACACAAGTATCGAATTACCGCCCCATCTCACTTCTCCCAAACTTAGCTAAAATTATGGAGAAAGCTGTCAATACAAAACTACTCAATTATCTGGAAAAGGAAGGCATGCTAGCTAATAACCAATTTGGCTTTAGGCATAACAAATCGACAGAAGACGCAACTTCTGCTCTGGTTGAGACTGTTAGCTCAAATTTGGATTTGACCCTCTCAAAAGTGTGTTGGTGTCTTTCTCGGTGTAGCGAAAGCTTTTGACATTATCTCCAGACCAATTCTGTTATATGTATATTCATCTAAATGTTCGCACACGTTAAACGTCCATTCTCTCGCTTCCAGGTGAAAAACCATACAAATGTTCTTGGGAAGGCTGCGAGTGGCGGTTCGCTCGTTCGGACGAGTTGACGCGGCATTACCGCAAGCACACGGGGGCGAAGCCCTTTCGCTGCCGCCAATGCGACCGGTGCTTCTCGCGTTCGGACCACCTCGCCCTGCACGCGAAGCGGCACGCGTAGCCCGAGGCGTCTCCGTCCGCTCCCAAGAAGCGGCTCGGCCGCAGCAAGCGACACCCGAAGCTCGTGTCTCTCCTCTCGGCTGGAAGCGAACACTAAGCCGGAGCGGATAGTACAAATCGCAAGCCAAAGAAACGTCACTACTGTAGCTAAGTCACCACTTACTTTTAAGCTTTTGTTTTAAATTATTTCGTTCCGGCCTCTGTCGCTTCGGCTTCGGACTGAAAACGCCCGGAGGTGGTGATCGGGCTGCGAGGTCTAACGTACGGAAAACAGAGATTTCTTTAAAATTTGTCTTAATTTACATTGCTGCCTTTTTGATTGGCCTTTGATTGGGTCAAAAATATATCGCTACAGTTAAATCTGTTTTTAATCTCGGAGTCTCGACGACCACCTCAACATTAGCGTCGTCGCTTGCGATAAATGACAAAACCGTATCGGGCGTTTGAGTTTCGACAGAGGTGTTCGGTCGGACACGCTGCGAATATTCCAAATACCTGTGGAGTTCGGCGCTGCTCTGAGACGCTACGTGACGCGACCGTCGCATCCAGAATGGTCGTCTAGGATGTCGGATATTACAACGACAATTTTAATTGTCTAAGTGCCAGTATTTGAGCCCGACGTATAATTGTGCCATCGAGTATGAAGCGGTAACACATACTCGCAAAGTGATAACCGAGAATGATTCTCGTTGATTTGCGCGTGTGTGTTCTCGCTTTTTCCGTCTACCCGCATTTCGATACACGTGACATATTATTATTTATTGGAACGGGATGTTCGGCAATTAATCCCACCGACGCCGGCGCCCTCGCGAACTTATCACAAGTGTGAGTTTCAAGAAATTAAGTCAAAATTCTATCTAGATTGAAAAAAATGTAAGACAAGGACTCTACTCGAACCGATGCCGGTTCACTGTTTTTCAAACGAAATCGATTTTTAATTCGTCATTGTACGTACGTTTTACAAATGTTCGGTGATTTTCAAACCATTTTACAGACGACGAAAGAAAACTCACAGTTGTGACAATTTTAAGATACTTGCGTATTTAAGTTAATTTTTAAGGTACATAATAATATATTAAACTTTTCATATTTCAAGCTATATCTACACTCTCATTCCGTTTTTCGTGTTTTGTATATGCATGCATGTTTCTTTGTTTATGGTCATATTAGGTTTCTTTATCTCTATAGATAGGCTTAGATATTACAATGTTTAATGAGTCGAGAGAGGGTATCGTTTTTCTCAAGAGAGTTTAAATATTCACTACTTACCGTATTTTAGTTTATCTACAATTGTAAAGTTTTTAACCGATAATAATTATAGGGATAAATAATATATACTTACGAGAGACAGGGAGAAGGATTGATAAATGTCGGAACAACCTAGAAATTCCTAAGCTATTTAGAGGGTTCGTTATCTAAGAAAAAACGAAGAGAATGTTCTTTTTCTAGAACCGACCGAGAACAATTCTGGTTCGAGTGAATTTACGCACAAAATTACATAAACAGGGTTTGATATTTACTTTTTTTATTTCCCTAAGAACCTTTTTTTCTCTGTCATCAGAAAACATTCAATCGATTAGTTTTCGGTTTGCTTTCTCCCCAAAAACTACCACCAAGCTGTGCAAGGTTCAAATTCCGCCCGTGCGGTTTTTTTTTTACTTTATAAGGCCTCTTAATTTTATTTTTCTAATTCTAAATTACATAAATCTATTTCAAAGAACGAACTGACCGAGAGCTTCGGATATTACGTGTACCACTCGGCGCAGTGAATTGGATCAATATAGGTAGACGTGTCTAGTAGACGGTGATATGTGCGATTAATTAAGGAGCGCGTTAAACTGCGGTCAACTAAAATGACAAATGTTTCTTATTGCCTCATTTTAAATAACGTGTTTCGATAGAACTTATATCTGCAAATGTATATTAAAGCACTTTTTAACCGATTAAATTTTGATCTTAAATTGGTTTTCGTAGTACGTGATTCAATTATAGCGCATTTAAATTGATTAAAGCTTGTTTTTGACCGTTTACAATTAATCCATTCTACCTAAATGTCTTAGATGTGTAAAAGCGAGCACGCTCAAAGTAGCTATAATATTAACGTTATAAGGATTGTTCAACGAATGTTCCTTTCCATGAGTTTTCGTAATGCGGGGTACGCGCCTACATAAAGTTGAAGAAGCGTTAGAAACGAAGCGAACTACAAATGACCGCAGATGTAGGTGCGCGCCCGGCGTAAACCGACTGGCTCGATACTGCCGTATTATCGTTAAAAAGCCTATAAGACTTAGTGTGATCGTATCTTTACACTTGAATGAGTGTGTTTTATATGTGTAATAATGGTGTGGTCTTTGCGAGGATCCGGACTTCACTCTCCGGGGCCAATAAAATGTCTTCCCGGTTCGGAAGGTGCGAAGGTTCGTTTTGACAGCAGGAGGACCAAGTCTGCTAATATACAGACATAAATCGTTGTCGTTGCCCTTCAGCGCAGAACATTCAATTCGTCTGTTTGCCGAAGGGCATTAAAGAATGTTTGATTTTGAACCGATTATTTTTTTGTTTTCAACCGTTTATTTATCATTTAGCAGACTTAGTCCTAGCCAGACGATGGTTTAAAGGGCGATACGTAAACGCAATTTCTAACAGCAATACATCGTTCACACAACGCAATTATATATACACCCTGTATATATAATTATAATTAATAAATTAATATTATAATTAAAATTTTGGACATCTTTAAAACTACGCGTAGATTAATTATTGATTCGATTCCTTTCTGGCGCACCTGTTACGAGGTTGTCGCGACGACGTCGTATAACATCCTATTATTTAAACACTTTAACGGTTTAAAACGCGAAATATATTAGTTAAACTTATTTGAAATTTTACTTTAATATTAGAGACACCCTAAATATTTAGTCCCCGCGTGGGCCCCAGTTATAATAATTTTCAAATAAGTTTAACTAACATATTTCGCGTTGTAAACCGTTAAAGTTTTACTCGAAAGAGTCCTGCTCGCGTAAAATACAGTCGCTGGTGATCCAGTGAATGTGTTCGCCACATTTAACTTCTACGTCTAAGAAAATATATCGAACGAAACTTGTAAATTTAGCCGATTTAAAAAAAAATGTGATTCATAGGTAGTTGTAAGGGAGTATTGCCGTTTCGGGTACGTGTATTCTATGCTTACATGTGTTAGGTGTGTTTAGGATGTACCGTATATTACGTGCACGGCCGGATCGCATATTAGTAGGCGAGTAGGAAAATATATATTACATTGTATGTAAAATTTAATATTGACGTTATACGGTTTAAGTGTGAAGTATATATATACATACCATATAGCTAATTTTTCGAGAAAATAACGCGGCTGTGTGTCTATGAATCAACATTAGATAGGGTTTAAAATATTGTATCGACCCACTGGTTGGCCCACAGTTGGGAGCGAGAGGATTTTATTTTTGTTAAATATTGTTTAGCATTACTAAATATTTACACTTTGCGAAGATGACGATGTCTCATTACGGAGAAATCGTTTTACGTTTCAGGATGCGAACACTTTTAATATAATATAATCGATTACATATATTCCACTTTACATTCCACTACATCTCGACTCGGTGGGTCTATACTTAATACGACAAGAGGTACTTTACTTCGGTATTATTCGAGAATACACGAGCGTTTGGACAACTAGAGGGGTGCCCAATTTTCAGAATAAAAAATATCTGTAAACATTCTGCAGCTAGTGAAATTAAACCGCGAACAGAAAGTATGTTATATAAATGATGTTCAAAAAATGTACGTTTAGTCGATTGTAGGTCTGGGTACAAAATAGTGGAGGCCATACCTCACAAACTACGCACCGATACTATCCACACTACTGAAGAAATAAAGTTGGGCATTCTAGTTTACGAGTGTATTTTCAAATATCCGTTTAGTTACTGTTTTGTATGGCTATAGTCAGTGAAGGGACCTGTCATCTGATGTAACAGAATGTGTTCTCTGTCATTGCTACTATGCCAATAATAAGCCAAATGGTGCGCATTCTTTGCAATATTAGTTTATTCTATTGATGTTGGTGTATTTGTAAGGGGACAGTTTCACGGTGCATTTGAACGAATTCGACTCTCAAACGATCCGAGTTGATTTTTCAACTGTCTCCGTTGTTGTTAAATATTTTGCTATTCTTATTATTAAATTATCTTTGTGTTTATGTATCTAAATTTTATAATACTTAGGTAATTCTAGTTATGATACGCTAATTTTCACCTGTTCTTATATAATACGATTCATATATTCTTGTCTATGACATACTTGTTTCGGCTCCGGTTGTATTTGTAGACTATGTTTAATACGTTTATATGCAGAAAATATTTTTTATTGTTTAGCGAGGTATCAACATTATTTCGTTTCGTTCGCGCGTTGAATGTATACACGAGTCTAATTAGCGTTTATAGTATGTTATTGTTCTCGACTGCCTTTAGATATCGTTTAAATTTTGGGGTCTCGACACATTTGTGGCGCGGTGACGATTACTCATAAAAATGGTTGTGGCCTATACGAGTGTGACGTGTACGTCTCACTCGTTGAGGTCGCTTTTGTCGCGCTTCCGTACAATGCGTTCAGACCCTAAAGTATTTCAGGCGTGTCTCAAACGCCTATATATAGTATCAGTGTTAATCGTTCGTGCGCGTTTACAGATCGGTCGATCTTGTGTTGGAAAGGCGCCCGAAGTGTTTTCGTATGATTTCCTGTAAATAGCAGATAATACATATATCGTATGTAATAAGTTATTGTTCTCAATGTAACCTGCAAAGCCCTGAATTCTAATCGAAGAAGACCTGCGGCGTGAGGGCGGGTTACGTAGTTTCTGTACGTATTTTATATTAATAAATCTTTCTTATATGTGGTTTAACTGTTTTTTAACAATACCCTAATCGAATGTCGGAAGTTTCTTACTCTTGTCATGAAATGTGTATTAAACATTTTATGTAGCAGTAAATAGCTTGACGATCTCAAATTCGCATTAAAATATCAGAATTCGGGAAATATGTCTTACCCGGTAGGCGCACAAACGCTAAAACACCTATTGACGACTATCGTTCAATAATTCGGTATATTTAAGCGCCATCTCTTGCTTACCATTGCTTTCACACATTAAGAGACATCATAGAATATAATACGACGTATAAAGAAACATTATAGTCTATGGTATTTATAAACATATTACATAATATGCACTCCAAAATCATTTGGTATTTTAGTATAAAAATGTTTGCTTTTTGCATATTAGTACTATAATTACTATTTTCATATTATGATGAACTACATCAACGTCATTGGTCAGTGTCAATTGTCAATATGAACTCCTGACTTATATGACTTCCTTTTTATCTGAATCTGTCATACCTACAATAACAAGAACATAACCTCAAAAGTCACCGGTTTCAGACAGTAGTTTTAACAATTTCAGATTATTTTCAATATTAATAACATAACAATGTCAACGTCCAAACTCACGGGAAAGGACGAATGGTCTACCTGGAGCTTTTTTGTTAAAGCTTACCCTATTATTATTTTATAATTAAGCTTGAACACATATTAGTCACGGAGAAGGATTGACAGATTCAGTGTCATTTTTTAAATAAATTATTGGCAATTTATTTTTAAATATATACTTAATCTTTAGGCTTTAATATTATTAAGAAATAAGTTGTATCGGCTATGGGCCTATTATAAGGCCATCAATTCACGAGAAAGAGTATCATTTTCACAAGATTTTCCACAGAACAGAAGAGAAATAATTACTACAAGTAAATAATGATAATAATATAACATTCTAATCGAAGATCAATTCAACTAAACAAACAAATGCGGGACTGTGATGCCCGAACCGTCAACCAAACATTTCTAATTGCAGCTAGAACAAAAGTCGCACCTATTTGGAGTGATCTAAGAAGTCTGTGGCAGCTGACACCAAACATAACCTCTGTTCTGTGTCAAATAGAAGTAGTGTTTTGTCCTATAGAAGTAACAGTTCCTTGTCCAGATCTGGGACACAACACCTCGAGTTCAACAAAGCATACCTTTCAAGTGCATAACCAATTGTATAACTTGATTGAAATGTAGAATTGTATGAACATCCTGGCTGCATGTTGTGTTTATAATCTATAATTGTTAAAGATTCCTTTTTGACAATCAAATCTGTGCACTATTTGCTGATAAGTTTCTCATAAAAAGTTTGTAAAGTTTTAAAAGATGGTAATTTTTTTTAAATATTGTGTTATTTAATATACACACATTTAATAAACGTTTATCCATTGAGACTATTTTCTATACAAATTCATACTTAGTATCATTACACATCAACAAATAAGGAGGACTTCTGTATGTTACACATTATTTGTCTTATGTATACACTTTCAGAAAAAATAATTCCCAGTAGGTTTAAAGATCTCTGCAGCTTTTGCTGTAAAGAAGATACAACAGCTTACTGATGAAAATACAGCCAAGCTTGTCTACTTCAGTTACTTCCATAGTGTAATGTCTTATGGTATCCTTTTGTGGGGCAATGCAGCCGATATTCAAACCATATTTGTTTTGCAGAAACGGGCTATTCTATCGATTTGCGGTCTTTTCCCACGAGAGTCTGTTAGATATAAGTTTAAAGCATTGAATATCCTAACGCTGGCAAGTCAATATATCTATGAAAATGTTTTGTATGTGAGGAAAAACGTAGATACTTTTAAAACAAACGGCAGCTTTCATCAGTACAATACACGTAATAAGGACAAAATAAGTGTACCAAACAAAAGGCTCCATAAAAGTGGTAATTCTTTTCAATACGATGCTTTAATAAATTCCCCAGCGAAGTGCAAGCACTCTCAATAAATAGGTTTAAATCGTATGTAAAACAAAAACTCCTTGAAAAGGGTTATTATCACGTTAATCAATATTTAAATGATCAAAATGCTTGTGGAGGAACCCGCTCTTACAAGGAAAAATATGTAGTGCACTAAAAGTAAATCAAGAATGTAAAATGAAACTTGGTGATAAAAGGAGTGACGGCGAGTTTATTGCCAGTTCTTCTCGTTCGTTCTACGCCCTTGATTTGAGAACTGGTAGTATGTAAAGTTAGATTCTTTAATTATTTTGTGACGTTCATAAGTGTACATAGTTACCTACATGAATAAATGATTTTTGACTTTGACTTTGATTATTCGAGAAAAAATACCACAATTACATTTAACGATTTCAAACGATCATTGAATTATTTTCTAACTTGGAACAAATATTATTTCGTTATTTTTATTTTCTCCGATTGAAGCTATAAGAGAATATTAACAATTTAAGTTGTACTAAGGAGGCACAGTAAAACATTCTTATCGGTTTAAAAACGATCCTCGAACTGTCTTGTCACATTAGATAATTTCTATCAGAAAAGATATAGAAGATCGAATCGACCGTGCTGATGTTTGGCGCATTCCTTGTTTTGAAATGTTGCCAGTTTCAGGATATTCCAAAGCGATATTCATCATGGAACACGGAAGAAGTCATACTGCATCATCGCTTTTAGAGAAGCCCGATTGCAGAATCAACGATTAAAAGTTATTATTATTGACGGACAATTAGTTGAGGTGACTACACCTGTACACTGTAATGCTCGCTAAACTATATACCTCGTTTCGCGGCCTAGTTATAAGCACTTAATTATGTAATTTTAATTAAAGTATTAAGAAAAATTTTTTATGGTTCACCGATCGCGTTTATCTATACTCTATACTTCTATAGGGTTGCATAGAGTTAAAAGGGTTCAGGTTAATTATATCGCCTTTGTAATACGTAAATAGATTTATTAACGTTTAAAACTAAAACTTAACTGAAAATGAGGCACCGACTGGCACTTCTGTAAACTAAATTTGCAAAAAGTATAGATTCTACAAAGGTAAGCACTATAAATATCTGTGTACTAACGTATAGGGTGATTATTTTAATGGTTCAAAGCTATACGGATAAATGAAAAACGCCGCAAGGAACAAATACATGCGAGATGTTGATTAATAAAAGTAATCCGTACCGCCAAAATCACATAAAAAAAGTAGATAATCCAAGAGAAAACGATTAACAAACAACGAACAGAATTTAGTTTTACACAAAATAAGTTTTCTTTTTTCATTTTACAGGCCTACAATTTTAAAATCTTTTAAATCGTCTCTATTTTCTAAAAAAAGTCCCTTTTCATTTGCTAAATGCAGCACTGATAATAACGCTAGCGGTACACTGAGCGATTCGCGCATGGACGTCGATAGCTTCGAGGGCAGTGTCGAATAGACCTTGAAGAAAGTCGTTTCTGTCACCACTTCCTTTTCCCCAGGAGGAGAATCTTGAGTGAGCAATTTCCAAGTACAATGCTTGAGTTGTTTCATGTCGACCTTCTTCACTCTCTTTGCGTAGGGAATACACATTTTTGTTATCTGAAAAACGCGATTTAAACACCTTTTCTATATTTGAATAAAACACGTAAGCCCTTGCTTTCGATTGAACCACTGGTGTGATTTACTGGTATATTCACATTTTTCAATTTTAAATTATTATCCTTTTGTAGGCACTCAGTAGCTATAGCCTGACCCCGATAGATGACATGATTTGGTTAATTCTGACACGTCCTCAAAATATATTGAACTTGCACATGTGTGTGGCTATGTAGCACGACCACACATACGCAAATATAATAAGCGTGTCTAATTACCGATGTCAGTGGTCAATAAAGAATTACAATTAGAACGCGCAACATGTAGTTTACTTCGCTACACTTCCCTTTACCTAGTAACTGAAATTTACTAGTGTAGTTAAATGCGTTACCTTAGCAGGTGGTTCCAGCAACTCCTCAAGATCTCCATTGTCATGTGTTTGGGTATTAACCTGGCCTTCCGGACAACCAGCGGCCGCACCTTCCTCGTTACCCCATTCGTAGGCTTCCTATATTGTAATAAGTTAATGATCACAACTTTAAGAAAGAAGAAGCTAGACTTAAGCCAACATATTCAAACCGTACTCAAATACTATGGTTTAGTGTAAAATTTTCAAACTCATGTTATGTATAGAGTACTTTCCAACTTGACCACTACAAATATGGCGAAATCAAACCACAGATGACACAGGGTTAAAGAAATATCGAGTGTATATGACCCAAACGGCCTCAATATTCAAAATCACTTTTATAAAGACTTATGTTTTTTTACTTTTTACGTCATTATAATTTAACTCGACGCTTTACGTACATTCATTTTAGGATTTTTATGGAATGGAATTGTGGTTTTACTGAGGGAATTTGAGGTAGTTTATCACTTTAATATATAATCCAGTGTCTCAAAGCGCTTTTAGGGTATATTCATGTAAACCTCGTGAGAAAATCACTATTTTATGTATATCGTGTATTTGTTTACCGAAAATGCCAAGTTAGAAAAAAATTTAGTATGTTATATAGAAATCGTTACAGTAGTTAAACTTCGCCTTTGAAATAAACGAATAAGAAAAATGAATACCGGCTCAGTATTGAGACAATATGATGGATCACTGTGCTCGTCTACAGTCAAAGGCTCCGGCGCGGGCACAGACACCCCCTTGCTTTGTTCCAAGGCGCGCTTGCGCGTCGCCTCAACGTTATTGCGCAAGAAGAACTTCAGGAAATGTGTCTCATCCAAGCCACTAGAAGAAAGTATTAAACGAGAATATGTTACCGAGTACTTATTGAACCCACCCCAGTACAGACGGGAACCCTCCAATGGGGGGTATAGAAAATCGAACTTAACTCGATGAGAGCGACATCATCAGTCATCGGTGTCTGACATCGACCTTATCTAAATTGTAATTTCTGTCAATTCTATATTTAGCCCTGAACTATTTCTATATTAATAGAAGCTGAGCCGGCGACTTCGTCCGCATAGAATAGTACTAATTTAACTCCTGCTCAACTCTAAAAATTTAAGCTGTTAGCTGGCAAGTTAATCTTAAAAGATAGGCATATAGTGCTGGGAACAATTTATTAGATCATTTAAAGAGGAATCAATCTTTCGTACATATTTTTTGGGTATCTTGAGCCGTTTTCGCAGCTTACGCACCGGAAACCCACAAAGATAAATATAGCCTATAGCCTTCCTCGACAAATGCTCTAACCAACACAAAGAGAATTTCAATTCGAACCCGTCGTTCATTAGCGCGTTCAAACAAACTAAAATACTCTTCAACTTTATATACTAGTATTAGCATAGATTACCTGTCAATCGGTGTTTTGTATTTATTTTTATTCCATGACGCTAATGTCTTTGAACGAAGCGTTATTTTAGCTGGCTGAGTAGGTTCAAACACTCCCGTGGGTTCCGCGCGAGAATCGAATCTCAGACCTGCTCCCATAAAGTCCAGTACTCTTTTCGTTCGACGTACTTTTTTATTCTTCACCGTCACCCGAGCTGCAGTCGAAGGTTTGGAGGCTGAAATTCATTTTTGGCGTTCTGTACGTAATAGAAAACAGAGTCATACTACGTTTTTTAAAAGGTCAGAGCAACGTGGGATTCACTGATGGGAATCGAAATATCCTATACACTATCCTGTTATATAAACACCTAAAGAAGATGCGCTGTCGGAATATTTCGGCTTCAAACATTCGGAACAAATAAACGAAGAAATCAAAGAACTCAAGATTGAACTGATAAAAACTAATAACGGTACCTACGTTTGGCCCCGTACAAAAACATTTAGTTAGAATAAGTCATTTTAGCGAAGAATTACATAACATAACTGCCAAAACACACCTATCAGCAGATTATTTTATGCTCTGCAGCAGTCGCATTAAGTTTTACAAACTTTTTTTTTTTTACATACCCCTGTTGTTCTTCAGCCGCCAATGTGAGGGTCCAGCCCAGGCCTTAGGTATGGAACAATAGGAGTATTCGAGTCGTGAGTGTTGTGGTAGCGTCGGCCGCATGTCTGTAACCGTCGCCAGCGGAGCCGGTGTTAACCTGGCCACGCAAGCGGCGATCGCTTTGCCTGCCCCTTCCTCGTGTTCTAAACCGCCAAGGGGTTCGTGTTCTGCAAAGAAATGTGATCATTTAAAATATCTAAATTCATATTTGTTATCGTCATTGCATCATATACATAAAAAAATGTCGTGTCCTGCCCGTCATCGTCGAAATTTTTTCACGCTATGCATATGTGCACCTGTAGTGCAGTATGATTTCAATCTTAACTTTTCAATATATATTATGCCTTCATTTGCAACAATATGTGATAAATATTTATGTTTTCAGGACACAGAACTATCCCCTGTCGTGCGGTCTATTATTTAAATCTTCTCCATTTAGAAGCATAGAAGAAGAGTAGTAAAGGGATATCCTAGCACTCTCGAATCACCGAGTCTTATTAACAGTTGGCGAGCGGCAATATTATGCAATGCAAAAAATAGCCCTACGAATATTAAACACTATAAAGAGAATACACAAAGCAAATATGTACAGAAGATCTTACAACCCTAATCGAATAAATCATTATTGGGTTCATCTATAGGTATCGGTTCAACTTCAGCATTGACATCTATTGCGACGGCCTCCGGGGATAGATTCATCATATCGTCATCTAGGCATTCTTCGGTGACGCGCGAATGGCTAAAAAAAATTATCTACTAGCAGAAGACTATACAAAAGATAATTTTTCTGAGTCACATCAACTTCTAACATTATTCTTGTTAGTCTCCTTGTTAGTCCTCTAGTTATTAAATATATTTTATAAGTTCATAACATTTTACAATCGAGAAAATAAAACACATGAAAAGGGTGAATTCTGCCCTTCCTAAAAATACACATACTAAAACCGAAACGCAAATATACACACTTCTTTACTAGGCTACTTCATACGAGGACCGTTGTTCGTGACCCGGACAAAATATGAAACATATTTTTTTTTTTTAAACATGGTAAAAATATTTTAGATTTTTATTATTTTAGATTCAGGACCAGTGTGGTACGCAAGCTCATGTGACTGCATTGATGTCTTGAATTATTTACGTATATACAATACTTACGTGTCTTCTGTATCAGAATCCCAATTGGTAATAGAGAATCCAGTAAATGGTTCGCAAATATGACTACTTTCAGTCCATGCGGGAAACAGGTTTTTGGGAATTGTAATTCTTTCAGACCAATCAACGTGACCGGGTACAGTATCTTCGTTACTTTTGAGGAATGGTAGATCTGTTCTGTAAAAATTTATTCTTATTAATATGTATTTACATCACATTTTATGTACACGAATATATGCAAATATGTATTGTTCTGGTATAAAAGAATTCTGCCGCTTAGTCAACTCAACTGCGCATACTCATTTCGGGTCAAATACTGGGTCGATAAAATATTTTAGAATTTTTTCTAAGAAACGTACTAGTATCAGCCCTGAGCTTGGAAGTAAAAAATGTGTAGAAGAACTTTAAAGGAAATGTTTAAGATAACACCTTTTTTATTTTGTGGTGGGGGTTGTTTGTCCCCTTTTTTTTATCAAATAATTCAAAGAAACAAACCTTAACATCAATGCTAACGTCCTATCATGAATGCGCAAGTCAGCATTAAATTATCTGTTTATTGATGTAACATCACCCCCCTTTGTTGCTAAACTTTCAAACAATGGATCTAAAAAGTATATTTAGAGTTTAGAATCAAATTGATGGAAAGAGATCTGATTACTTACTTTCTTTTATTTAATATCACTAAATCAATACCATTGCAATGATGCGTTAGGCTGCAGTCAGACTTAATTTTAATAACATGTGGTTTAAGTTTATTTGCAAAATTACACTAAACTCTATTATTAAGTATGTGTTGTCATTATAAAGAGTAATGTTGTAATTAAGTTTAATGTGATAAGTCTGATGTAACCGATATATTCATATTACAAGCAATAAAAAAAAATACAATAAAATTATTTCAATCTACTTGCAGTGTTATAAACCGCGATGAAAATGAGAAAACTTAGTATAGAATATTTGTTACCAACAAAATCATCGGTCTCAATATCTCTATTAAGAGTTTCTGGATTGGCCACGATAACATTAGATTTCTTTTTCTTAGGTGCTGTAGCACCCTCTTGCGCTTCTCCATCTATGTTACCTTCTGCGTCATCTCCTTTACGTCTTTTACTCTACAATTGAGACACTTTTTTAAATATATCTTATACAAATAAAAAAATCTATAATTATTTTAAGGTTATACTTTGTTGATACTAAAGCTGAAACACGCCAAACGGCTTTTTATTCGCAGAATAAGGATAAAAAATCAAAATTAAAAAGAAATGAAAACTCACGAAGTTATGAACGCAACCACATGGTCACTGAGCAGGCGTCGACGGGAGGTGAACAGGAGGGGGTGCGAGATAGCGCGCTATTTCGCACCCCCTTCCTGTCCTCCGCTCCGCGTCCTGCACCTTACAATACACGATTCACTACTTTTATGTACTTATTGTCCGCTCACAGAATGTATTCAGAACTTTTGGCAATAACATTTTCCCTCACATATACAGGATTGTCAGAATGGTTAAACGGCATGTAAGTCTAGCGTTAATTATTGAGATAAAGAGAAAATTTTAATCACCATTATTTACACTAATTTAACGAATCTTTGGGCTTTCTCATTTTCGAGTAGCTCTTGTGCTCGTCTAAAATGATAAAGGTATTGGTGGTAAACGACGAGACGCCCGTGGGATGCGCAATCGCTTGCTTGCAATTCGGAAAAAAGTTGTTAAGTAATCACCACGAAAGGGTTGCGCACGCACTGACTCTAGTAGACTAGAGACTGAGAGCAGTAGGTCCGCGCGCGCGGTAGCGGTTAGTTCAAAGCGACAAACGGCCGCCGCGGCTTCCCCGAATTTGTATACCTATTGTTATACTTATTAGTTTAGTTATAAATGTAGATACTTATTTATCGAACGGTGTCCAGGATTTCAAAAATGTCATATAATTTTGAAAAAAAAAATAACGTGGTATAAAAACTATTCTGCTACTGATTCTGAACAAACTACTTTCAGGTTTCGCATGAAGTAGGAATAACCTTGTAGAAAGCAACAAACCTGAGCTACTGTTCTTAATCCCCTTGCAACTTTAAGAGCATCATGATGGACGGCATCCACTCGGAAAGAGTAAATTTTACAACATGCTTCGAGCAAGGTGGATGCTGTTACGAAATTGTCCATCCTGGCATCATGACTTTGCATCATTATTGGCATAAAGTCTATCAGTTGTAGGTGCCATGCCTTCTCTTTGTTAATTTTCTGAAAGGATATACAATACCAATAAAGATATCATAATAATTGTAAGTATTTAAGAAACCAAGAAGTGGACATACATTTTCTGCATATGATTTTAGACATACTTGATAGTGCTCTTCCATAGATACCGTCATTGTTGCTCGCAATCTCCTAGGTGTTGCTTGCGGAGAAGAACTGATTGAATCTGAAGCAACCAAAGATGACCTCTCGACATCGTCATCATTACGTTCCTAAAAATTAATTTAACTTTAGATTGAGGTGCTAACTAACGTAAAAAAAATGAAGAGCGAGTTACAAACCTGATCGCTGGATAGTGGCCGCAGTGGCGTACATGTTAAGATGTTGTCTTCCATAACTATTCATTCACATTCACTTAAGACTATTATGTTCTCTTTTACAATCTGTGTTTGAAACTCTTCAATATTCAATGTCATTGCCCGATATAGTGTCTGTGGTTATACAATTTTTTTACTACGTTTGTACTACATTACATAATATATATTGGGTACACTGAAATCTTATTTATTGTAAGTAACCGGCTCTATTAAGTGGTTTTAGAAAAAAATATTTTAATTACCTAAATAGAAAGTCCAAAAAGTTTTTCAATTTAAGTAATAAAGGAGTAACTCCTTACAAGATTTCTATAAGGATCGGAGTAAAATTTCATAGATAAAATATGAAATTTTTCTCCGATCTTTTGCCGATCGTTTAGAGCAATGTATGGTACGCCGTCTGTCGGACAGCACTTGCTCCGCGTACCGCTCAACCGGGTGAGCTTCCGTCCAGCTCTTCAAGCTTCCTACCCGCATTGCGGCGGTCCAAGCCGAGGTCGATGGCCCCCTCGGGGCACCCTTGGTCTAGCCGCAACCACGGCGAGCGCGCTAGACCGCTAGCCGGTTAGTACTCTAAGCCCCGGGCTCAATACGTCAAGTCATAATAAAAAAAAAGGACAGCACGTTCATAATTCCTTTTTGTCGTAAACTAAAATTATAAATTATACTCGAACTGGGTAGTTTTGCAGTGAATTAGTTGCATTATAACTAAATATCAAATTAGAAACTGAATTTATAAGTATACAGTGATGACTTAAAAGTGCATAAAAACAGTGCTAAGTTGTGGGTATGCATTGAACAATTTGTCCGTGCGAAATCTGTGTGATACCCTCGATTAAATATATAGTAATAGTAATATTGAAAATTTAGTTAGTCGGATACATATCAAGTATAATTTGTATATAATAATAATAAAACACTTTATTGCACAAACAAATACAATACAAATATAGTAAAACTAAAATAAATACGCTAATAAAACTAATAAACTAATATAACGCCTTATTTAAAAATTGTAAACTGATATACAAATAAGAAGACATAAATAGGGTTCAACAAATATACACTTACTTCAAGTAAAAGTACTTCCACCCGGTGTGCCTTCTCGAGAGCGAGTGTGCCCGAGATCGGTTCGCGGCAGTGTTGCCACCTTGTATTTTTTTTAAAGCACTAGATCATGGGTAAAATAAAACCAGATTTAAGTAATTTAGATTTAAAAAAAAAAACACCAAATTCCGATAAATTATTTTTAAAGAAACACAAATTTAAATAGTAAGAACTAATGTATATGACAGTATGTAGTTGTCAATTTTAATTAAACAATATTTGTACGTATTTTTTAATGTATTTTTCGTACAGTATATAACAAATAATTTTGAAGTTACAATTTGTCAAACGTCAATATTATAATCGGAATGTATAACTTACAAAATGTTAAAATATAAATATGTATTGTGAAATAAAACATATAAGCATAAATGTGCTAATTCGCACGTACATTTATACATAATTAGTAGAGTAAGAATGAAGATAAACAAATTAGAAAATGGTTAAAATTCATGACTATCAAATGTGAAATCTTCTATAACTTCATTAAAATTTACAGTCTCCGACACTACTGTTGTCGAAGCCGATGCGGAAAATGTTGTTGGTTGAAATTGGTTTTTGTAATAGTACTTTGTATTTTTGCCCATAGCTCCAAGGACATCGTTTGGTAATTCGTAATTGTAACATTTCACATCAGTTCCGTAGTTTGTTTTTTACAATATTCATGACACCGAAAATTCTTTTGATACCCGCATTAGATTAAAGTCATTTATTCCAGCTGCGTTTCTGTACTCATCTCATCAACCCAAAATTGAATAACATCATTTGCATTTTTCCACTGGACAAAAGAGATGCTGTGTCACTGGTTGTCGATGTCATTAGCATTATAACCCATTTCTTCAGCGAGTTCTGAAATTGAATTGTCCTTACCTGCCGCTAATCTTGACATCAACTCTAGCACAGTATAATTGGTTGGTAGCCTTTGTTGAATTTCTTTAGCTAGCTTTACATTGAAATCAATACATCGACGTTTTATGGCAGATACAGCATCAGATGACAATAATGTTTTTTGACTCTCCGATTCAAAAAGGTATCCCGTATAGAGGGGCCGGATTAAGGTTTCGGTCAATGTCAATGTTTAAAAAATCTTTGTTTGTAGTAGCAGCATTGGGTAACAGTATTCTGTTACAAACCGAGCAGAATAGTGTAATCAGCACCTTTAGTAACTTAAGTGGATTTGCACTTTCACTTTCAAAGGTTTTGACAGCAATCTGCACATCGTTTAGAATACTTTTTAAAAATAGCATGTACAAATAATTAGTTTCGTCTTTGTACATATAGTGTATTTTTTCTTACTTGGCATTTTTGGTAAACAACGACTACACTGTATATCTATAATTTGTTGCGATCTTTTGCCAAGTTAGAAAAAATACATTATAGAAGATAACAGATCCGCTGTGTAGCATCGATCTCTCATAAGGTCAAAATGTAAAGCCAGCCCTTTCCATTGCGCCAGAATTCTTTGGACTGCTGGTTCAATGGACAACCAGCGTGTATCACATACTTGTAAACTCTTCAACGGTGCTTTACCACAATTGATAGTTTTGTAAATGTCGTTATATTCATTTTTACGTTTCCCTAATCAAGAATTCTATATTTCTTGGTAGCGTTTGTTCTGACGCATGTGACACTGCAAGCTGTAAAGAATGGCAAGTGCATCTGATTAGAATTAAATTTGGTATATCATTTTTAAGAATTCCGTACACTCCATTATTGATTCCGGTCATGACTGACGCATTGTCGGTTCCCAAACCAACTATTTTATTTTTCTCTAAGGCATATTTTTAAAAGCAAGACAGAAGAGCTTCTACAATTCCGACTGCATCGCAGGCTTTAAGTGGTTCTAAAGCTAGGAAGGAAGACACTACTTTTTTTAGTTTTCAACTAAAATACCTGATCATAATACCAAGTTGTTTGCACGTACTGATATCTGTTGATTCGTCAATGTTGCTGTCCAATATGCTTTAATAGCTCTTCAGCGAAGTGTGGTGCCAAGACATTTTTAATAATTTCAGTGCTTCGACTCTCTTATTCTTTCTTTTAAGTTCTTTTTTTTTTGTCGTTTACTTTTAAATTGTCTATCAGAATTACTTGACCCTGACGAAGAAGCACTAGTAGACCTATTTCTCTTCTGGTGCCGACCCATGTTAACAATTAAAATAAAGTCGCACACAATAAACTTATACTGCTGTCTTTAACACTAATAATTGTCTTTGAATAAAGTAAACTTCTTTAACAAAAGTAATTAAATTCAGTAAAAGTTCAATTATCCAAATAGTCCTTAAATTTAATTTAAAATTAGCACTTTAACAACTTAGAATAGTTCACTTTGTTTATTTCTGGGTTGCTGAGCATTTTAACAGATATTAAAGTATGCTCAAATTATCAGTCTACTTATGTAAATACAAAAGTTCATGGAACAATCTCACCAAATAACCAGGAATATTTCAACACGCAACTGATGCATCTTCAAGCACTCTGAAATGCAATCGTCACCGTACCAGGATAGTTCACACAAATAAACCCGTTTCTCAACCAGAAAATGTTCACCAAAAACTTCAACAAACTTGTTGTACTGGAGGTCAGTGACCCTTAACGGATTGACAAAATTTGTGCAAAAATCAAGTATTAAGTACCGAACTGCATTAAACTTAGTTACTACAAGCGTTCTTATCACTAATTATGTGTGTTATCACCAAATTATATAATAAAAGCGTCTTTTCGCATCCAAAACCGCCAGTTTTTTTTTCACCAAACTTTGCACTTTAAAAGTGAAATTATCGTCCAATTCATCAAGATCACTTATCGCACTTCTGATATTGTTAGGTCGGAAAAACGAAGTTAACAGAATGCGCGCCAAAGTTCGTATTTGACAGTTTCTGAGCTAGTGTCGGGACGCGCGCGGTAATCGCGTCGCACTAGTGTTGTGTCGTCCCCACTAAATCGGAGGATTATTCATATCAGTAAGATGTATTTTTAAGTCATCCGTTGCTTTGGAAATGCATTGAATCGGAAAACACTGATTTTACTAAATCTGATAGATGATCAATACAGGAAAATGAAGTGTGTTCTGCAATGTAAAGAGCAAGCATTGCTTCGACATTCCGAGAGCTTGAATTTGGAACTGTTTTAGCGGGTGTGAATTTTGTTGTTTGATTGCCTGATATAATTTGAATTTTTTGTTTCTGTGTTCCCCTTTCAACAAAGTACTACCAGATTCCGATAATGAAATACCGCTAAATACCACTGAAAAAAAAATAAAACGCCGTGTACTAAAAAAATATATTACCAGAAGCCTTGAAAAGGCACCAGTTCTGGTGGAAAATCCTCCAAGGTGGCAACACTGAACAATGTCAATGTCAAGTTTTTTTACTTCAAGAATTCAGTATAGTTTGTACAACCTGTGGTAACGTTTACTGTAAAAATGACATTGATCTGTCTTTAATTTATCAAGAGTTTAAACGGCCTGTGTTTACTGGCGTATAGCTGGCCTGTATAATTTAAGCCTGTTTTTACACTTAAAATACTTTTGAATCCTACCCTCAAGTATTACGTAGATATTAAATTAATTGAGTTATATATAAGTGCACATAATACATTTCGGAATACAGCCAAATATGGATATGACGAAAACTTTAAAACTACAAAATTGTCGTCTCCGTAAAATGAACAATGAATTGATTAAAAAAGTTCAGCACTGGAAAATGGTTGCCGCTGATAAGGATAAAGAGAAATTTGGCCTTATGCAAGAAATCAATCGGCTAATGCTACAACTCAACGTAAGTCACGATTCAGAATTTCGAACGGCTTAAGAGCCTCGGCTCTCAACTTTTACTATCGGTCAATTTTCACTAGGCAATCTCTCGTACATGATAGAAAAATAGGCTTTTCAGTCCCTTTACTGCAAACCTAAGCATTACTTGAACACTTGGCGTAGTTTAAGTATTCATTCTATTTACTGGTTGCTTTTATAGATGTTAAGAAAAAGAGGTGATAGTTGTGCTCAACAACTTGAATCAGCTATAATGTTGTCAGGTCAGTCTGTACTGTCTCATTTAGTAGAGAGTTCCACTGCAGTAGTCAACATTATAGAAGTAATGAAAGGCTATATGGAAGATCGACGGAAAATTGACAGTTCCCAGCTTCAATGGACTAACGATAGTAGAAGTTCTGATGAAGTTCACCAGGCGTTGCCGACATCAATGGATGAAAGGTCTATACAGCCAGTTGTGTCTTTACCATACTGGGGATTGTCAGAAGATTCAGGCGGTCAGAAAACTCAGCCTCTTCAAAATTCAGGTTGTATTTATAATTAGTTCTATTCACAATCAAATTCTTTATTTCATTTTCATAAGTTGCAATATTCTTAGTATACATATTTATATTGTATATTTCTAGCAAAACTACTTGATAAAGAAAAATATCTCATCTCTTTCATAAATAGGAAACTAATTAAAGAGATTTAGGTTTTAAGCATGTGTTTACAGTTTGCACCTCTGTTATTTATTATATTCTTACAAATAACATGCCACTTTTTTAATTAAATAATGCTTTTTATTTGTAAATGAGTAAATTTGCTTCGCAACACATATGTGGTTCTCACACTAACCTGTATGTTTCAAGGAGGAGAAAAACGTACATTGAGACAGCCAATACCTATGAGTGTTTTACGAGGTACAATATATAATGACAAATAATTTGACAAAACTAACCTAACCATAATAACTATAAATACCAATTCCAATTTTCAGAACTATTCAACCCATTACCAAATAATAGTTACAATTTAGATGACAGCCACAGCACAGACGATTTGGACTTAAGTGGTAAAAATTCAATATATTGACAGCTATAATTTATGTTTGTATAATTTAGAAGGTAGTTTGTTTACCTAGGATAACTATAGAATACAAATAAGCAAATGCATATAAGAGTATAGTAGAGTATAAATATCATTATATTTGGAACCAACGTAATGATATCAATGCATGGCTGCTTATCCACATTGGGTTGGCTTGATGCCCACCAGGACTACCTATAACTCTCTTGTAACATGTGTGGTTGAGATCTAACCTCAGTGTAAGTCTTGAAGTGTAAATCTTAATTTTCTGTTGAGTTTGTGAGTATCCAGATGTTATTTGGCTGGGCGTACACACCTGTCTTTCATTAAATGAAACCCATCCTTCGTTTTCATGACACAGAAGGGAAGGTTGATTCTCCAGTCCTAAATTACTAAACAGCCCGTTGACCTTTTTAAATATTTAATATTTTCTTTAATTTGTTTTTTTTTTTAATTTTTGTACTTATTACAGATGAATCTAAGTCGTATGAAAAAGAAAATAACAGCACCGTATCAGAAAATCAGGAGACGTAAGTGTTATGATCAGAGATCAACTTGTACATTAGTATTATCAAAGGGTTAATTTATAATAACACTAAATAAATATCCTTTTTTTTCTTTACCGTAGATATTTAAGTGTTGTTGAAGAGGAAGACGAAGAGACACAATGTTCATCACGAAGGTAAAACTAATTTCACATAGTACAACTGGTGAAAATTTCAATTTCAGCCCACAATTAAAATGCTGTTAAATTTTAAAATCTATGGTGATTGGAATACAAAAGTAAGTTTTGAATATCTAAAAATGCAAAAATTACCCTTAGTGGAAAGTCTTGGAAAAAAGATGTCACTTCGCACCAAGCATTTTTCCTGCCCCCAATTAAAAATTTGATCTAAGTTGAGTATACGACCATTCTTATTAATTTTGTTTTTTGTCGCCTTGCTTCATAATACCATTATATTTCAGAGGTCGAGACGAGAACCCGTCGGAGGGGTTGCTTGATGCGTCTCCTTCTAGAAGTAATGTATGTCTAAGAGGAATAATTAATATTTCTTTTCTTTTTATTTCTTTTATGTATAATAATTTATTTAATTCATAAAAATTGTTTACATAGTGTTTACAACAATTGAAAACAGCATCCGTTGCCGAACTAGGTGGGAACCTGTATTTCAGCTTTCGGCGCCACTCCCCGAAACATTTTAATTTTTAATACTAGCTAAACTAAAACTATTTACTATTAAACAATATCAGTTACCATAAAGTAATTAACATGTAACCTCATATGATAATATGTAACAGATCCTCTCTTTGTGTACAGTGAAAATGTACGGGTGTGTGTGTGAGAGGGTGTGTGTGAAAAATGGAAAAAAATATCCTATGAAAATTATTATATAAATAGAAAATCAAATAAAAAATCATGTACCATTTAAATTCAAGATATATTGAACAAACTTATGCAATGATGCAGGTTATCATTATCTCCCAATGCAGTCAGGCCAATGCCTAACTCACAACTCTTAATAGTTGCTCTGTCTCTTCGTAATCTAAAGTTCTTATCCAAGCTTCTACAGTTATTTTACATTTTAGGTTATTTAAAGAGTAAATTGAAAATAAACTATTTATTTTATTATATAGATATGGACCAAGAAAAAAGAAAAATTTTTGGCTAAAAGCTGTGCGAAACTCTTTCTTGGAGTCACAAACTCTGTTTCGTCGTCGAGATGAATTTTTTTGGGGGACGAAATGCAAATTACGATGTTGTTTTAAAATTGTGGCAAAAATAAACAAATTTTCTCACAGTGAGCACTTCACACTGTTCATAAAGTAAAGTTGTGGAAAATAAGAATGGGCGAAAAGTGCTGATCTTAAGAACCGCCCGTTGGGCTATCTCCAATCGCTTTAGTCTATGAGCTGGAGCAATATAAACTATACTTGCAATAGAGAATCACAATCATGACTCGCTTAACTCTTTGTTATGAAATACATAGATGGTATTTTTTTATAAACTTAAACCTTTATTTAAGCTAGAATTTCTGTAAAATAATAATCAAAAAGATTCATGAACGAATAACTGCCCTTATTTCAAGCTTTCAATTTCGTTATGCTATATTATATAGCACAGATATAGTGGTATTGCTTTACAGGACAATATAGGCCGATCACCGCATGCGTACACGCCAACTAGTCCCGAGCCACTTTCTTCGCCTGTTCCAACCTTTATAAAAAAGAAGTACGTACATTAAAATATTATATAGGCTAACCGCCTCTAGGTCTTGAGGTTGAAACCCTGTTTTTTTCTGTTGATAAACAACACAAATGAGAAAGATAATCAACTTTTCCACTTCTTTAATGTTTAAAACTAGTTACTAACATTTAAATGAAACACTTTAACGGTTTAAAACGCGATATATATCACGTGCTTAACTATTCTTCTTATTTATTCTAATAAAACTGCAATACTTTTTTCTTTAAGTCGTTAATTTAAGGAGGGACTGTTTAGTCAAACTCAAACTCAAACCATTTATTTCACAAGACAGAATAAATAACTTAAATATAAGCTTAAAAAACTAACATTTATACAAACAAAAAGTGAAAGAAGAAAAACAAACAAAAAATTGAAACTTGGACGAGTACTTGTGCAATGGGGAAAAGCACTCGGCGTGTGCTTCACCACCCAGATTAGAGGAGAAGCGCCGGTTTTCAGTGCCCCCCCGGGGAGAGAAGGTGACAACAACTACAAACTTTTAGTGAACTAAACTAAACTATAAAAGTAAATAAACTTAGAATAATGTATGATATATAGTGGAATGTGTGTTTTATACTTTACAGAACAGATCTAAACTCTTGTTTAAAAAGATTTATAAAAACATATATCGTTTTGCGTACATGCGATTAGGAATATGACTCTACTAATAAAAACTTTTTATAATTAAGTTTAAGATTTCTTACAGTTTTAGACACCAGTATTGGTGGTGTCCGCGTGGGCTTGCGAGTTGCGTCAGCGTCGGTCGTGTAGTGGGGAGACCGCTTTAATAGCATCGCGCACGAGGCACTGGAAGGAGAGGACCAATTTACTTCTCGCCGGCGCTGGTGCGCAAGGCGACGCAGCGACTGAAACCGAAGAAGGCCTCCGGAGCAGACGGCATCACAAACGCCGCCTGCTGATGCGCACTCTAGTGGACTGACAACGGGATACCACGGACGGCACACTTTCCCGCGCCCTGCAAGGAGGCGCGGGTGATCACCATTCTGAAGCCGGGGAAGGAAGTTATCGTCCGATCTCACTGCTCTCCTTACAGTCGAAGCTGTTCGAGACGCTCTTGCTACCAATTATTAACAAGAGCACCGCACCGCATCCCAAACAGTTCGGCTTCCGACCCGGCCACTCTACGAGTCTCCAGTTGGCGAGGGTGCTACACGCTGCGGCCGCCGCGGCGAACAAGAAGGAGGTGTTCGCCGCCGTCTTCCTCGACATGGAGAAGGCCTTCGACCGTGTCTGGCACGCGGGCCTTGTGTCAAGGCTTATGGACCTGTGCTTCCCCCGCCGAGTAGTGGCGCTCCTCCATTCGTTCCTCCTCGACCGGCAGTACCATGTCGCCGTCGAGGGGGCCACATCTCGACCACGCGTCATCACCGCAGACGTTCCACAAGGCAGCATGATCTCGCCTGCCCTTTACACGACCTTCGCAGGCGACGTGCCCGCAGCCCCCGGCACTACCGTTTCCCTGTACGCCGACGACACGGCCTACCTGACGCCTTCACTCAACGCCACCCACGCCGCGCTCAAGGACACTCAACCTCCTCCCCGCCTGGCTAGAGAAAAGGCGGATGGCTGCGAATGCCGCCAAGACACAAGCCATCGTGTTCGGGACCCGCAGGTAAATTACCTGGGCGTCACGCTCGACCGCCGGCTTTCGCTGAAGCATCACGCGATCGGCGCCGCAGGACGCTCCTCAGCCGCCGCCACTAAGCTGCGGCCCATCCTCAAGTCCCGCCTGCCGACGCGTGCCAAGCTCGCGCTGTACCGGTAATACATCCGGCCCTACCTCACGTACGCGGCGCCCGCCTGGTACGGCCTCACCAGAATAAAACACTCCGACGCATCATCGACGCGCCGCGCTCGTGAGAAACGCGACCATCGCCCGGGACCTCCGTCAGGAGAGCCTCGTTGAATTCATCCGCGACCAACACGTTCGCCCGCGTAGACGCCTCCAACTTCGCACACCTACGCGACATCGCAGCGCACCATACGAGGCCTCCCGACCACCGACGGACGTTCCCACGGGAACTCGTATGCGTGGAGCCGGACCCAGCGGACTGAATCCTCAGGGCACGACCATAACTCCGCATGCTTCGGATGCTGCGGATGCGAAACATCCGCAGGCTACGCCTCGCTGGGCGCCCCCTGGGGTAACGAGGGGTCTCACTCGGCGGGGATGTGCCGCGAAGAGCGCCGCTCGCGCCCCCTAACTATGACCCCATACCACGGACTCAAGCTGAGCGCCATCTGTTACGTTGTTACGCGTTACCACATCGCCGACACCCGGACGAACGAGCGCATTAATGCGCAAATACATCGGCGGGCCGCGTCTGAGGCTGCGGCCGCGATGTACACTACTACACACCACTACCGGACAGGACTTCGAGGCGCGGCATTCCTACGGGCGCATTCTCAAAGCGATACAGCCGCTGGCTATGCCTCGCTGGGCTTCTCTCGGGATTACCGAGGGTCTCACCCGGTGGGTCTGTGCCGCGCGCCGAGTAGGTCTATTCGGGTGCGTATGCTTGCAATTCCGCGTTCTCCTTGGCTCTGTGCTAGCAATACAGTGTTACTCTGTTCAAACAAATAAAAGGCTTTAATTGTTGAAATACCGTTTCCCGCCCTACGGATTCACACCGATATGCCCCTCCGCACGGAAATCATTCATATATTAGTTTTTAACTTCGGTCTCCACGTGACCACGACTGCTGCAAAGCATCCGAAACATCGGGCCGAAATTGAAAATAATTTTAAAATAAACTAATATATATCGCGTTTTAAACCGTTAGTGTTTCATATAAATATGTACTGCTCGCGTAAATTATAAACCGGGTCAAGAACCACCGTCCACATAGGGAAAAGTCGTCAAATTTAATCGCGTTTCGGTTCCATTATGTGGACATCCGTATATCCAAAGCTAGTATTGGTTTTTTGCTGCAGAGATCCCGCCCAGCCGGGGCCCAGCGGTTTGCACGGTTTCACAGTATCCAGCCGCGACAGTCAAGCCACGCACCCTTTGCCCACCGCCCACCATAGCAGCGGCGACACAGTGTGCAACAGCGACAGTGAAGTCCCCGAAAGGAGGTCGAGTAGGCTGAGGAAGAACGTCGTGTATAAGGAGAAGCCGCTTAATGTGTTAGTGCAAGATACAAATAGTTTAGCCAGTGCACCTAGCGCATTAGTATTACTTTTCTCTTTTTAACAGACTTCTCAAAAGAGGTTCTTAATTCGGCCGTACTTTTTATAGTTGTTTCTTTATGAAAATCATGTTTTTCGTTATTAGGCCACTCTGTCTTTAGTAACCTTAATTAACTTAGACAGTTGTCGTAATAGTAATTTGGGCTACTACAAATAATTACATAAACACTCTTCACACTACGTTTGTGACAGAATGGGTTTGCACACAGCTTCTGTGCGCCTTGGTTATCATTGAATATGCTTATTGTGTACATCTTATTGGTTATTTCATACTCTAATTCCTTAAGATATAATGCTTCTCTACATGCTTCAGACAGACCAATATACTCCGATTCTGTACTGGAAAGAGCTACCCATTTCTGTTTCTGCTTTCCCAAGATATTACACCATCAGATAACAAAAAACACATCCCAGTATATGATATCCTATCTTCAGAGTTAGAAGCCCAATTAGCATGTACATAGCCTCTTATTTCAGAATTACCATCTTTACAATATTTTATTCCATAAGATTTAGTTTTTTTAAGATATCTTAATACTCTCTTTGCATATTCCCAATGCTGTTTAGTGTGGCAATTATTAAATTGACTATATATATATATATATATATATATATATATATATATAATAACTGATATCTGGTTAAGACTGACAGGTACATCAAACTACCAATTAGTTGTCGATATGGTACACAATTATTTACACCTACTTCACTTTTATCTATATTTAATTTGACCTCCATAGGTGTATCAACACCTTTACAATCACTTGAATTAATTAATTAAAGTTTCCTGGCTCAAAGTTCCATATCCTTTATGTTTGTTGCAGATTACATTCATTCCAAGACATAGTTTAACTTCACCTAAGTCTTTAATGCTAAACTTTTTAGATAAAATCTGTTTCAAGCCCTTAGTTTCAGTTTTATCATTAGAAAACATAAAGAAATCATCGACATAGGTCTTGTCTTTATATACATACCATGTATGTATATAAAGGATAATGACAAATGTACAATACACTATATTTTACCTTTTGTAACCAGTACTGATCAAACAATTATCTACCTTTTTATTTCAAGCTCCTAGAGGCCTGCTTAAATCCATAAATAGCCTTTTTAAGTTTTAATACGTTACTAACTGAACTACTCTTATTATAACAATCCGGCATTTTCATATAAATGATTCCATCTAAATCACCATTTAAGAACGCTTAACGTCTTAACATCTAAACCTAACTTTACAGACAATGCAAATAATAGTGTAAGAGTCGTATGTCTCACTACAGGCGAAAATGTTTCAGTTTAGTCCACACCATGTTTTTGGGTGAAGCCCTTTGCGACTAGACGAGCACGGTAACGCACATTATTTCCGCTATCATATTTTTTTTGCAACACCCACTTGCACTGCACTATAGTATAAACTACGATCTTTTGGAACATCAACGAGTTCCCACGCACTATTTTTCTCGAACGACTGTAGCTCTTCCTGCACAGCTGCTAACCACTGTGCTTTCTCAGGCCCTTTCAAGGCTTCATGCAATGATATTTCACCTGTGCACATTAGTTCATCTTCTGTGCAAGTATTTGCAAATCCAAATCTGTCTGGTTTCTGTTTACGCCTAGGACCACTTATTGCGTTGACATTGTCGAGTATTATGGAATCTTCAGTGTTTGTTGCACCAGACTCTGAGCTATCTAATGTTTCATCTTCGTAAGATACATACATTTCACCACTGTCATCCGTGTTCAAGCTCTCTAATTGTTCATGCGAATCTTCATGAAGTGTCAAATCTTCCCCTACTGGAACTATATTCACATCATCTGAACAATTTTCTTATACCTCAAGAGCATTTTTCTCTTTCTCTATCTCCTCCAATACTATAACATCTCTCCTAGTACTGATGACATTAGACTTTGGGTTGTAAATCCTTTACCCTTTGACATCATTGGAATAGTCGACAAGGATACATTTTTCAGCCTTTCTGTCCCATTTCAATAATAATAATAATAATAATAATAAACTCTTTATTGCACAAACATAGACATAAGAACATGGATACATAGAATTACATATACAAAATAAGACATGTTTGTGCAAAGGCGGCCTTATCGCCTATGGCGATTTCTTCCAGGCAACCTTTGCATGTAGAAATAAGAAATAAAAAAGATAATTTTGGAAAACAATCAAAAGTCAACATAAAAAATTAAATTATACAATAAAAAGATAATATAAACTGGAAATTAACACCAAATTACTAAAGCTAAACATACTTAATAGATAAAATTACACACTTAAAACCTAGAGAAGCATCCTAAATGTGATTAATTCTAAAGCCAATAAGGCCAAGGCTAAACAGCATTACCAAGAAAGTATTGCTTGACCCTGACCTTAAATATAGTGTGACTCTGTGACAGTCTGACTGTAAGTGGTAGCTCATTCCATAGGCGGACAGCCTTCAATCTCTTTTGTTTTGGCACATGTACCATAATCGTTGTGATGTAATGTACCATGTTGACTGATTTTCCATCGGTCCACAGAGATCAGTATGCACAATATGTAACAATTCAGTACTTCTGCTAACTTTTTTAGGAAAAGGCAACAGGCTTTGTTTGCCCTCACAGCATGCATGATGACTTTGATATAACAACCTTGCTATCAATTGTCAATCCCTCTACAGCATCTTGCATCTTAGAATAGAATAGAATAGAAATACGTTTATTCAGAAACAACACACAACAACAAATAAAAGTTTACAGTTAAGACTTACTCTACAAACATACAACTTTAATTAAATATTAAATAAATACACCAATATATTTGCCTCTGAAAAGGAAGCCACTCAGCTACGTTGGGACTAATGTCCCAACACTGATATTCTGTGGCCCCTTCAGAGGCCGAGGTTGATCGACACTTTTTCTATTATACACACAAACACTTTAAGAAATTACACTGATACTTTAAAAATGATCTATATATATTTATACACACTATCCTTTCACTTCGGTTTCTACATATACAATTTCAAATGGCTCAATTTATAAAGAAACATTTAAATAATATTAACTTACTTACATTTTGCTATACATCACTACGCAAAAATATCTTCTGAAAATGTTATAATTTTGCATCTTATATAAATTATATTGCCTTATATATGACTTACATTCTTACATCATTTACTTTACGCTATATTAGGTACAAAAAAAAAAGAAACATACACTTCTTACAATACAATTAGGTAAACTCATTATGACACAAATCATAGAAATCTGTTAGAGTATAATTGTCATATGTAAAATGATTACTTAGTAACATAAAAGGCTAAAAAAGCATGTTAACTAACAAAATATTACGTGCACTACATTTCTTAATCGGGAAGAGTATCTATGGGAAGATTGATGAAATATCTTCAAGTTTAGTGAGTTTATATTTTTTAGAAGACTCTGTTTGACGCGCAAACTCTCTGTTTGATCTTGTTCAAATACTGGCTGTTGACATAACCCAAACGTCGATGCCAAACTTCACTGGAGACCGTCATTGCAACTGCTAAATAATATTCAGACATATTCAGTTTATATACACCATTCAACCGACATGCTGTAGCCACCAGTACTCCTGCCTTATTGAAAATCTGACAACCATTGTTGTTAAATAAAACTTTGTTTCCTTTATATAATATAAGTTGACTAACAGACAACAGATTTGTAGTCAACTTTGGTACGCACAATACACCTTCCACTGTAATATCGTAATTACAGGTATGCGTATTTCCATAATCTGCACATCTCCAGTACATGATACAGGTACTTTATCTTTGTTTGCCATGACAATTTGCTTTATCATAAGGTCCCGCGACACATTTGAGAATCATTCCTCGTTCGCAGTAAGATAAACACTCGCCGCGGAGTCGATATACCAATCGTTTTAACAAAATGCACTATTCAGGAACACAGCGCTAAACACATTACTGTTTGTACGTTCATTTTTTGTTTGAAAATGTACACTGGTTACGGTAGTGTCCAGTTTCTTTACATTTGTAGCATGTTATGACTTTTACTTTTGACTTTGACATCTAGGCATTGTCTTTGGTTGAAACGTTACCAACATTCCGACTCTTCTTATATATATATATATATAATATAATAAGTCTTTATTCAGGTACAATCCCACATCTTACAAATATGTCACTATATGTATACTGTACTCTTAACGAATTGTAGGACCTCTGAGTAAAATTACACCAAAGTTGACAGGTGTAAAAACTCTGGCAATACGCTTTAAATAAAAGTGTTTTCACCTCCTTATCACACCTGGCAAAGCGACGCGCCAGCATGTTACATCTGACGGCAAGTGATCGTCTTTCACGTTCAATGTCAGCATCGTCAGATGCCCGCTCCGTTATATACGTGCCCCAAGTACCTAAACTTATCAACCATTTTTATCGCCTCGTCGTTCATATATACCATGGGCACATGGTCCAGACCTCTTCCAGCCCTAAACACCATTACTTCTGTCTTTACCGTATTATATTTTAGGCCATGTGACAGTGCATATTTTTCACAGATGGAAATCATTCGCCTTAACCCGTTAATCGAAGGGCTGAGAAGCACCATGTCGTCAGCATAGCTTAGGTTACTGACACACAGATTGCCAATATTGCAACCGACATGAGTGCTTCACAGCTCAGCGTTCAAATCGTTGACGTAGATGCTGAAGAGGTCTGGAAAGGTCAGCCCCCCTCGGCGTACTCCGCAATCCAGTCTATATACACTGGATAACGAGTCACCCCATTTAACACAATTGGTTTGGTTCTCTGCTCTGGATAAGTCCAGACAGCACGCATATACGAGGTATTACGACTTTTGTAAAAGTTAACCGTACTTTTAAGACTAAAAACGGCTGAATCTGTCAATAGCCCCGGCCGAAAACCAAACTGCGCATCGTCAATACTAAGGTCTTTTAGGTCCTGATGTAGGACCTTTTCAAACACTTTCCCAACCACAGTTCCAAGAGATATTGGCCTGTAATTTCCTAAATCAGTCAAGTTGCCCTTCTTATTTTTGGGTACTAGAACCACTACAGTCTTCATTAGGTTTTTGGGTAAGTATTCCGTACTAAAACAAAGATTAAATAAAATACTTAATTTCGAAAAGATTTCCTTCCCCGCAAACAATATGTGCTCGAGGCTTAAGCCGTCAAAACCCGGAGACTTGTCGCGCGACATTTGTTTTATAATTAAGGCTATAGTCTAATAGTTTAATAGCGGAGGGGATAGGTAAAGGCGAGACACGAAAGTGACTCGCAAAGTTGTTCGCGATCAATAAGGGGTTTTCTTCATTATTTATTATTAGTAGGCAATTTAGTAACACCATTCATTTTTTTAGTCGAACTGCAAAACTTAACAAAATCTTTGTTATACTTGTGCATAGCCAGCACATTCATGTTGATTTCTTCTTCATGATTTTGACACCATTTTAACTTATTTTTGAAAGTCCTTTTGCTCGATTTCATATTATCATACCATTTACCCTGTACTGGCTTTCCTGCAAGCACCCACTTCGCAAAATGATTTCGTGCGTTTCTGTAACTATTTTTGACATAGTGGTTCCAACCCAAAATAGGCTTTTTGTGCATGCGCCGACAGCATACCGCACTATCAATCGCTGCATCACATAACAGATTATACAATTCAATCTGTTCTGTCGTGCGGGTTCCCCGCGTCACTTGATTAAATTCACTTAGCATATCGTTATTAACTAAACAGTCCTTAATTACTATCACAGAGATATCACAGACAATACTCAGCGGCATATGATCCGACCAGTACACCCCGTATTCGACTTTGGCCGAGAGTCACGCGCCGCCGCAGTCACAACGCACTGATCGCTTCCAGAATTAGGAAATTCTCAGCCGCGAAAGCCCACTTATTGTAATTCTCCCGCCCTTTCAGTTTAGGCACACTGGCAAGATAGATCGTCGTCATTTATACAGTCACAGCTTTAATTACAGTTTATCTCAATCTGCAAAGTCTTATTCAATTCAAAGTTCCAAGAAAATTGCGAGATAAAACTAAAAAGCACTAGGCCCATAACCTCTAATAAATTACACGCTTGAGTCACGGATACGAACTAACTTTTTTCTTTCTTCATCTGACATTTTACCACACATTTGGCACACAGTATGTAGGAGTGATGTTGTCGATACAATATAGATATAAAATAACGTGTCTGACGAAGCTAGTATTGGTTTTTTGCTGCAGAGATCCCGCCCAGCCGGGGCCCAGCGGTTTGCATGGTTTCACAGTATCCAGCCGCGACAGTCAAGCCACGCACCCTTTGCCCACCGCCCACCATAGCAGCGGCGACACAGTGTGCAACAGCGACAGTGAAGTCCCCGAAAGGAGGTCGAGTAGGCTGAGAAAGAACGTCGTGTATAAGGAGAAGCCGCTTAATGTGTGAGTGCAAGATACAAATAGTTTAGCCAGTGCACCTAGCGCATTAGTATTACTTTTCTCTTTTTAACAGACTTCTCAAAAGAGGTTCTTAATTCGGCCGTACTTTTTATAGTTGTTTCTTTATGAAAATCATGTTTTTCGTTATTAGGCCACTCTGTCTTTAGTAACCTTAATTAACTTAGACAGTTGTCGTAATAGTAATTTGGGCTACTACAAATAATTACGTAAACTACTGCCGCTTGTATGTAACTATGTTTTCGCACTCGCACATTAAAACAAGTTTTATTGATTTCAGGAAAATGCGAAGATGATGGTCGCACACTCTTCACCCACCATAGACTGTGCATTCTAATTTAATTGTTATCAAGTTATTTATATTTAGTCAGCAGACGAATGTTGTCTCTTTCTTATTATACTTATCCCAGAGGGACAAAGGTTCAAAGGTCGCTGGAAGGAATTCGTTAGTTACTAACGCATATTAGTCTGAAGCTCACACCAGTAACTAAATAAGAAAGACTGAAAATAGTTTTTTAATATTTCTTTGTTTAAATTGTAATTTTATATAGAACGATAATAAAGTATTAATTATTAATATTGTATTTTTTAAGTAAAACCAAAATTGAACGGTGAAAAATATTTTAAAAGTTTTATATGCCTCGCACCACTGAACGAAGAACTACACCATACCTTCAGCTTTCTGAGATTATTGAAAGGCAGTACATATTTAATTTGACTGACTGAGATTATCTTGCCATAAATACTGTTACAAAGAAAAATATTTTATCTATTGCACATAATTTTTATTATTTTTACAGAGGTTACTTTAAAACCTAAATATATAAAACTTACTCAAAATGATCTTCATTGGCGGCAATACAGTCCTTTGAACGTTGGGGCCAATTATCAATAGTAGCACGCACTCATGTCATGGGAAATATTTTAACTGCCAATCGTACGGATTGTTTTAGTTAGTACAAATTATTATGGCGTTTAAAGCATGCCATGTTCTCTAAAACTGATCATAAGTTATAATCCAGATCATTAAATTCGGGACTAGACGACGGCAGTCTTTAGCTTGAATGAAGCCCGAAACGTTCGTTTCCAACCGAGACTGCTTTAGACCTGCTTTAGACCTGGCGCTGAGTCTCGCTGGAATGATCAGTCTTGGTTATTAAACATGATGCTGTTAAGGGGCTTCACTACTTTCTCATGACTGGTATCTTGATACACTTGTGCAGATGTTTTGATACCTTTTTCACAAAAGTATGGCTCAGTCGCTCCTTCATAGCTGACACCCCACCAAACCATCACTGAAGCCGGATAGTGCCCACGTTGAACTCTGTCTACTTATTGAGCTTTCTTATGGCCGCTCCACACTCTCCACGAGGCGACACGAGAGAACGCGAGTGCTAGAGTGTGGTCGGTGCGCGCGTGTCCCCTCGCCTAGTCTCGCGCTTTCCGTCGGTCTTTCGAGCGCGAGTCAAAAGACGCGAGAGGGCGAGGCGAAAGAGTCAACCACACTCTCCCGCTCGCTTACTTATTTGTTGACTACTGCCGTCTATCTTGCACTAGACGTAACGACTAAATAAATAAAATGGAGAGTGTGGATGACTAGCATTCTTGCAGTCTCCGCTCGCCACGTGAGAGTCTGGAGCCGCCATTAGAGTTTTGGGCACTAATACGGTCATTTTGTTTATTAAAATGTTGTTCAATTGTAGAAAAAATTCATCCGTAAACATTTTTTTTCTGTGGCCTCCCTTTGCGTACCGCTTAAGTAGTTGTTTAAATTTTACCACCGTATTCTTTTTAAAATTGTCAGTTAAGAGCGTTTATACCCTCCACGCGCAATTTGGCTTAAAACTGGGTTTTTCAAACCTGTTAATATCATCAACCACTTATCGTACAAACATGTTGATTATTTATATGTTTAGGAAAATTCACTGTCTAAAAACTTTACACAGGTTTTCTTAAATCTCGTTTAAGTAGTATTTTCGAGGCTTAAAATATATGAAACTGCTTAAAGATGTAATTAGGAAAAACTTGTAACCAATCGATAAGATCCTTAACCAAATACTTAGTAAAAAAAACTTTTGGATTTTGGTATAGAACAATAAAAATAAATAAATTTTAGCAACGTGAAATATAAAGGACGTTTTATTTGTAAAATAGTTCTATGCGATAGAAGAACTCTTTCTTTAACCTTAAAAAATCTATCTGTTTTGTATAATTATTTTTCTATAATTATTTTAAAACTACTAGAAATCGATGCGCGTATAAGATTAATTAAGACTTTAATATTAAAAATGTAATTAGTCGGATATATATCAAATATAATTTGTATATAACGCTTTTAATTAGAAATTGTAACCTGATAAATAAATAAGAAGACATGAATATGGTTGAAACAATATAATTATACACTCTTATTACAAAACGAAGATTAACGTTTGTTACTGCTCTAACTATGGTACTAACTTTAAACGTTCCCGCTCTCTGGTTTAATTATTTAGACTTATGTCAAAAGTGTCAAATTTGACGTTATTCATTTAAAACTTGCTAACGTTTTCGTTTCGACATTGGTCATTGGTTGGTTGTTTAGGAAATTTCGCTCTATATCAAACTTTCCTTTGGTAATAAGTGCAATAGACTGCACTCACATACGCATTAGGAAAGTGAGTAGCGATAGTGGTCAAAAACAAAAAAAAAACAATTCATTTGTTTAAGGTTGTTTGCAATGCTGAGCTGAAAATCATGGATATTGTTACAAGGTGGCAGGATAGTGTTCGTGATTCGCGGATATTTAGAGAGTGTAAGTTAAAACAGAGGTTTGAAGCTGCTGCATTCTCAGGACATTTATTAGGAGATAGTGGTTACTCTTACTCCCTTACCTATTTACATGCATTCTAAATCCAGTCACTCAACAAGAAGAACAATATAATGCGTCTCTGTCGATTTCATATGCTGTCCTTGGAAAATCATCGTAAATTATTAGATTTAATGATTGTGTCTAAATGATTTCATCAAAAGATAGATTCCCCTCAATTATTGATTTCAAAATTGAACATAAGAGTTCCACTTAAACAGCCCCGAGTGCTAATCGCACCTTTTGTGCAACCCCAACGAAAATCGGTACATGGATCGCATTCTCCAATACCCAGATTCTGCAAAATAGATATCACGTGATAGACATTTTTTCAAATAAACCACAAATATTAATAACAAATACTTAACAACAAAATTTTAGCAATTATGATTTGTGCTGCTTTTATTTATGAATTTTTAATTCCAAACAAAGTCCTGAAACTTAGCTTTAGTAATTTTACTATTTAAGCATGTTATGTTTACCTATAATTGTTTATTACATTTAACTTATTATTTTATTTGTATAAAAAACTGCGGTGTGAATAATGTAATAAATGTTAGTGAACTTATAAATAAATAAATATAACAGTGCATGGGGAAACAACAAACGCTGTAGAGAGATGTTTGGTTTGTGAAAGCAAAGGTTTCGTTGTTTTTTGCAAACAGCATGGAAAACTATTATAGCATGTGCTGTATTGCATAATATTGCTTTTGATATGAGATAAGATATGTTGCCTGATGAGATTAATAGTCAGGTAAAATAAAAAAAAATAAACTTAAAAAAAGATAACTTTTATATTTAATCTGAAACAATTAAGCACCCGACAGTAGGTACGTATGCGTCGGTTACGCTTCGTTTTGAATTTCGTTATTTTTTCAGTTGAAATTTGAAAGTTGACCTTGACGCGTGTGATATGTTCCATAATATTGTGTTGTTATGTTTAAATGATTTTTACAGATGTGATGATAAATATGTGATGTGTAATATCGCCAATATCTAATAGTGTTACCATATTAAGTGTCCATTTTATTAGTTAGTAATTCCTGCAAGTGTAGTGTAATGTGTCGTAGAACCATCAATTTATTTATTCTTCATGATGATGACGAACATAGATCAATCAATACACTATATCCAACATCTTCATCTTGGCTTTTATATGAGCAGAAGAAATACATCCAAATCCAAATATGTCAACAGTCTACCGCTTTACCATTTGGGTGCAGAACCTTAATACTTAGTAAGTATAGAATAAATATTCGAAAATATTATTAAGTAGGTAGGTATGCTGACGCTGTACAAAACACCTCTTCTTTAAAAATTTTGGCTATTGAGTGACGACGACGACGACGACGAAATCTTAAAGATACTTTCCTTTTTTAGATCATCTAAAGAGGAATAATTTTTCGTACTGTTTTTCATTTCTCTAAAGACACAAACATGTTATAAAAAGAGCGAACCTTAAAGATAATACGAAAAATAATTAAACGCATACAAAAAAGCTCAATATGTAGGTAAATACCAACTAACAATAACAACTAAAATGTTATTATTGTTTTGTTGTAAAACGATAATAATTGATTGCGCCCTTAGTAAGGTAGTAACAAGTAGCAAAATATATCATAAATACCTATTTAAGTAAATTTATTATTTATACTTATTTACTAATTATTTGTTAAAATAACGAAACAGCTGCTGCAGAGTCCAAAATGTCGGGCCATAGTTAAAATAATTTGTAAATAAGATTAACTAAAATATTTCGCGTTTTAAACCGTTAAAGTATTTTTGAATATTTCATATTTCTTTTATTAAAATCGGAGCAATAGCTTAGACGCTTGAGTGGAACGTAACGATCGTTACAAGATATGGTCGGATAAAATGCACAATTAAGTCGACATACCCCCGACCCCGTACCCCGACGACACATGAACATTATGATTATTTTATGTCCTCCACCACTGTGCTAGAAGTAACTTGTAGGAAATAAATCTAAGGAGGTTGCATTGTTGTATTTTGTAGTCCGCCTCTGTAGCCAAATGGTTAAACGTAATGCTTAGCATTGCGTTAAGCGCGAGAGATCCTGGGTTCGAATCCCAGGGAAACAAAATTGTATCAATTTTTAATTGTTTGTTAAAAAAAAGGATCAGTGAAACGTACACAAACCAAAGTTTTCGCCCCATGCTCCACGAGGGGGAAACGGGCTTTCACTTTTTTCAATACCAGTCGTATTGGAACTGAACTGATTTTAAGTGATGCCATCCTTCTCTCAAGGCAAATGATAGGCCGCGCCCATCAACAAGTGAAGGTACGTCTCTCAAAATCAACCCTCTCTAAATACTGTTCAAAGAATGAATTTTGTAAGGTACCGCCATCGTACACAATATCATTGTTTTTCGGTCTATTCGGCCGACGTGAGCGAGAAGAGGTTCTCGACGTTTCGCCGTCACGAGCGGACGGCATCATCAGGAGATGTTGGCTCCTCAATTGCTCGAAGAAATGGTATGATGACGAAAAACGGTGATATGAACACGATATTTGTCATTAAAACGCATAAGCAATTGAATCCCAGCTGTGGGACCTAATAAAAATATACAAACTTTTACTTTACGTTAGAAAAAATATTTATTAGGTAGTTAGGTAAAATGTCCGTTACTTTATCTCGTCACTATCGGGCAGTAGAGCCTTGGTCTAGGGGTTAGTGCACTTAATTGCATATCAACAGATAACGGACCGAATCCTGGGTATTTTTTTTCTTTAATAATGATTTAAACGTATTGAGCCCGGGGCCTCTAATACTAACGTGCGCACTAGCACTTGCCGCGTTCGCGGCTAGACCAAGGTAGCCCCGAAGGGGGCTTCGACCACGGCCTAAACCGCCGAAATGCGGACGGGAGCTTAAAGCTGGACGGAAGCTCACCCGAGTGAGCAAATCCTAGGTTAATGAAAACGTAGTTCAGTATTTGGAATTTTCCTAAACTTACGGTTTATAAAGGTAGATGTAAGTAGGAGGTGTTATCGCGTCTGTACCTCGGGCAGTTCGTTAAGCTTAGGTCTTGGGTGTGTGTGAAATCCCTTTCCCCCCTCGTGGGGCATGGGGCGAGCACATTTTTGTGCCCGTTTGACTGATCCGTTTTTTAACAGGCGAGTAGTTGAACAGACTTCTGTGCCCTGCCCGACCGAAACAATATTTTGTTTCCCTTGGATTCGAAGCCAGGACCTCTCGCGCTTAACGTAACGCTAGGCAATACGTTTAACCACTTGGCTACAGAGGCGGTTTTGGGTATAATCACTTATTTAGTGGCGCTAAAAGGTAAAAACAAATAACTTAAACAATAATATTCGATAGGATACCCGTACTCAGCTGTGAGAAATTATCAGGTTAGACTGAAGTTTAAGAAATTTCAGTAAATTTCCAAGTTGTTCAAACGAAAAAAAAGGGTTCAAAATACGCAAAAAATATTTGCGAAAGAATTATTCCTCTTTAAAGAATGTAAAAAAATGGTTCGCAACACTATATGTCTATATTTAAAGATTAAGTTGCGAGAACGACGGGGCCCAGCCGACGTCGTGGGTAACATTAAATTCATAAAGGTTGGCAAAAACAAATTTGGATGCCCGAAATAATTGTTCTACGCGAACGAAGTCGCTAACACTGTTAGTCCTTGACATACGTCTATATATCTGGGATAGCTATAATTTTTTCGACTATATGGCATCTCGCAAATGGCAGTTGCATAAACTGTTTTATCGGATTTCATGGTGTTGGTACACTATTTACAACTTGATTGATGCTATTGGCTAGCGCGTAAAGTATTTTTTTTATTCTCGTTACAGACAATGAAGAAACGCGAAAGGACTGTCAGCACTAGAAGACTTAAGGACCAGGGGGGTAAAAAACTCGCAATGGACGATCAATATGAAACCGATTTATATAATGTACATAAGTATATTTTGTATTAAGTATAGTTATATAAAAGCCTATTAGTAAAATCGATGTTTTATTTCTTAGATAACTATAATTTATATTTAAATTAAATATTAACTAGATTAGTTTCCTAAAATTCACTTCTATTCGTTCGTTCGGTTTATCATTATTTGTACCTAAGTGAGTAACATGAAAAAAGAAGTAATGATAATATTTACATCTGCAACAATGTACTGCAAAGCCTCCCAAGCCGCGACCTGGTGCGGCGAAGCGTTTTTCACGCCTTAAGTCTGTACTCGCGAGTGATATAGATGTTATTAAAAAAACTTTTAACGATTAACGAACGCGAAATAAATTTGTAAACTTATTTTTAATTCTTCGAGCAACGAAAAAGGTTTAATAACTTTTTACTAAAAACAACTTCTAACAATCAATTAAAAAAAAATCAGTTAAAATGCATTCTTTGGGGATGAACAACTATAGGCCCCTAATTAACTCTCAATCGTTCAAAATTAAATCGCACATACCCATGATGCTAATGATGAATTTGGCTAACACAAGATTTCACTTGAAAACATGTTCAAAGCAATGCTAGGCAATATGCTAACATGAAACAACCTTTAACTATAAATGTATTGTAAGCAAACGAATGAGAAAATTAATTCTAATGTTGTTTCATTAAAGTTGTTTACTAATAAGAATAATACTGCATTTTAAAAGTTTATGACAACTTTTAAAGCTTGGCTTAGATAACCTTGAGGTTAACTAATGCTATTTATAATCTACTAGCAGAGCCGAAGACGCGTTTTATTATATTGCGGTATACAATTTAAGAGGAACAACGTTGAACACGATCGATTAAAATTTCCTTACAGTTTATATTAAGTAGAAATCAATATAAAAGAATTATTTTTTTAATTTATTATTTCCATTAAATGTTGTAATGAATGAGCATATTACACAGTTATTAGTGAATAACACATGACATTAAGGCAGATAGTCTTAAATCTTTAACAGTAATATTTATAATTTTAAATATTTCAATTTAATTTAGCACAAATCGGTGTACAATATTATTGGTTAACCTGTCTTTAGCTAACACAAATAGATTCGACGGTTTCCCAACGTGTGAACACGCAACACGTAAACCACAAATGGACATTTTTTGGCCTTGAGACGTATTTATTGTCATGGCAAAAGCTAAACGAATTGGAAACTGTAGTCGTTTGAAAGGTAAGGTAGAATCTGACGGTATCATTGGAATAAGTGGCAACAGGACCACTTTTCCTCTAAACTTCGCAGTTAAAATGGTTGCATCAGGAATGTTTCCGGAGATCTTTTTGGTGATTACACGTGTACCGTTGCATAATTGAGGTGGATTCAAATTGCGTAGGAGAATAATCGGGGAACCAATCTTCAATTGAAGATTGTGGGGTGGCATTCCAGGTATATCAATTCAAAAATTCAGTTGGAATTTTACACTTTCATGTTCATCGACAACAGTAACGATTGATTTAAAAGACTGATCTGACTGATTGATTGAAAAGATCGCCCGGTAACAACTGTTGTATCTGGAAGTTAATTTCGTCAACATCAACAATTTTGGCTGCCAAATTTGCCCGATAACTGAGCCAGTTATGATTCAAGTAATTAGTCTGTATATCCGGAAAAATACTCTGAATCAATTCATTTTTATCTTGATGAACAGTACAAAAATTGTCTGGTAGTTGGATGCTTTGCGTATTTGGTTGCAGTTCTATTTTACCGTTCCCAATATCTAGCAATTGCTCGGAACATATTTGTGCTGATGGATCATTTTGCAACTTTACCCGCATGTTTAAGGTCAATCGAAGTGTTTCAACACTTTGCCATAAGAACGATTGTTTCAAACATGCATTAATCTCATCCGCGAAAGTTGAGCGAGGTATAACCGGTAAGGTCTGACGGAAATCACCAGACAAAAGCAAGGTAGTACCACCAAAATATTTATTATTACTGTTTAAATCCTGCATAGTTCTATGCAATGCTTACCCAACACTGCAGCTATTCCACTATTATTTTTGATGTTACATATTGCATCTGATTTAAGATGAATATCCAACGGCAGCTTGAATGTTAAATGTGCCGTTCGCCAAAAAAAATCGCATAGGCAAGTAACGATGCAACTGTCAATGCGATTTTCTGTTGCGACCGTATTTTGGCAAGAATTAATGTCATTAAAAATGTTTGACCGATTCCACCTGGTGCGTCCAAGAAAAAAAAAACCCTTGTTCAGCAGCAACAGCCAGCACAATCCGATCATAAATATTTTTTTGTTCTGCTGTCAGAAATGACTCACTGTTCGTGATAATCGTGGCTAAATTTTCATGGTCATATTGTTGTTCTGTTGTTCTCGTAGTAAATCGGTATTGACTAAGTCAGTAGCTGGGCGATTAGGTGAATTTTCATCGGAGGTCGTAAGAACCTGGAGTCGCCTACTTTTGTCTTAAACATAATTCAGCCCCATTTCGTCGCGATCTGCAATACTTAGGAACTTGAGATTCGGGTCTCGACAACTATTAACAAAACCGTAGACAATATTTGTAGTAATGTTTACGTGCATGCGACGCGTGTGTGCGCAGTTCAACTCGTGTCCGACTAACTCGTTAAAAGTTTGGCAAACAACGGAAGAAAAGTTACTCGGAGACACTTGTGACTCCCGACGTTAAGTAGAAAAGTATAACACGACGATAATATGGAACATCTTGTCGCCAGACAAAACTAACTTTTGAAATTTAAGCCGGGCGCGAACAAAACACTTTATGGCTAGTCTTAAAGTACGCAGTTCCTATTTGTTACGTTCATTCCGCCGCGCGATCACTTTAATAATGAAAATAGCAATAAATACGAAGACCAACGAAAAGATGTCACTCAATTAACACCGAGGCGTGAGCTGTGGTTCTTATCGCATCTCCCGCTGAACGTTGCGCCGAACGCCATAGAGCACACCCTAACGATACGCGTTCTTAGGCCGGAGCAGCTTCGAATCTGAGAACGACACTTGGAACTTGGACACAAGAAATAAAACAAAACGTGGGAATTAACTCATTTATTAATTTTTAACTTTCAATACATTCTCATGAGATCAGTCGAATTGTCGAATGACTGAGTTTCGTTATAAAACAAAAATAAAATTTCATACAAATGTCTAATATTGTGTACAAAGAAAAAGAAACGTCTTTATAGAAAATTACTAGATAATTGAAAAGAGCTAAGCCAAGAGCTAAGCCAGTAGATGGCGAAATTACAAAATTATATTACTATAATTTTGCGAAAAAATGTTTCAATGTAACAGAAAAAATAAAATACTGATAAGGTTTTCTATTTTTGGTTAGGCAGAAGCGTCTAGAGAAAACGAAAAGGGCCTTACGAGTCGCATCGCTTAGTGTATTGTCCGTAATGTCAAATCTTCTAATAAATAATTTTCAAGTCATCAATACCAAATTCACTTCACCTTATCAAAAAGCCAGCTAAAAGACAGCCAGCTGTCTAAAAATGAAAAACAACTCACAACAAACATTACTTAAAAATAGTTCAAAACTCATACAATACAATCATCTACAAATTCAATCTCTTATAGTAATAACAAAATAAACTTAAGATGAGCTCCGAGCGAGTTTAAACATGGCGCGTCCTTTTAGATGCGGAAGCGTCGACACTTTGCCCAGTGCCACGTGAGAGTACTTTTGTTGGACCGCTTTGAAGTTAGACTTGTCTACGTTTATCACTAAGGTCGCTATTTTCCCAAGTATGGGTCGAATGTGAGCTAGTTCGTACCCCGAGTAATATGCGAGCGTACGTGTCCACACGTCCTGGAGAGGCGTGCCGGGGAGGACGTGTAGCGAGAGACAGACGGCTGCGGCGGCCAATTCGGACGGCTTATAGTGAGCCATGGAGTACGCCAGCAAACACAGGTCGACGAAGTATTTTGCTAAGTAATCATTCTTTCTTGTACAGTGAGCCACTTTGATGAACCTGGAAAAGATTTATTTGATGAGATGACTTCTTGAAACTCAATATTTAATGTATTGAATGTTCATCCTAATTGTGCCATTGAAAGATTGCAGAAAGAATGGTATATTGAACTGAAGGTATTACCGCCTGATGAAGGTGAGCGGTATGGGCCTCGCCAGACTGAAATCTAGCTTCCTCATTATTTCCTTCTCGCATGTCAATATTTCATTCTTGGTGTATGCACGGTCTGTGACTTGAACGAGTTCAGTGACGTGGACGGCGTATGTTTCTTCATATTTGCAGGCGATAAATATCGCAGTTACACCAATGAGCTGCAATCTGTTCTTTGGTACATTGGGTGCGACCTGAAAGACATAATTATTTAGCAAACAGAGAAAAGCGCTAAGGATTCCCAGTTCACAGTTAATTTTTGATAAAACACGTTAAATAAAGGAAAACACAATCTGAAGGATGAAGTCTACCTTCAGTGATGCTTGCGTGACGGCTGTGTGAGTGAACTCTGGATTTTGCTAGACTGTGTCTGCTTGTTTACAATGTTAGCATAATAGAAAAGCATAACAATACATGTAATACCTGCAAATACCGGTCTATAATTCCAACAGCCAAGTGTAAAGCCTCTAGGAGCAAAGAAAACTCGCACTGAAGCTTTACCAGCCAATCTATCAGAGGAGCCCTCATGCGACATCTTATTTCAGTTTGATTTTTTAAATGGTTCTTTACAATTGGATACCTCTTCTCAAGGGTGGTCAGATATTTGTAGATGTCCTTAATATAGCTAGACATCATGGTTGGGTTAGAGTCTTCAGCATCAATATCTTCAATTTCTGACGTCAAATTCTCAACAATGGTTTCAGGTAAATTCTGTCTTCCTATAGATTCCTTAGGGTCTTTAGACCTCTTCACTTGTGTTAAAACCTTTTTTGATTCAATTTCAATGTCTTTTTTGAGATCTTCTTTAACAGCATTCTAAAATATGTTATTAATATTCAGTATATCTTTAAAATATTAAAAAGAGTATGAGAATTATTAATGTCAATAACGTAATGATGGTAAATTTAGACAAAATAACATACTCTAGTATGCATTGCAGCACATGTAGCTTGTGGAGATGGCCTTGACGATGCTTGAATAGATTTGGCACCAAGACCAGTGTCAACCTTTGCCTGGACATGGCTGTATCTTCTGTGAATTAAAGGACACACTTCACACTACAAAGACATGGAATTACATTTCATGAATTTGTAACCTTTAATATATGTATATGGAAGCCAATAAAATAAAGATTTTAAAAAATATTTATACAGCAAAATGTAACTTGACTCTAAGTTAATATTGGTTTTAAAATGTAATATGCTTTCGTTTAAGCATTACAACACCGCTTCAAACGGAAAAAGTTTAATTTGATGTGGCTACAATTATAAAACAAATTTCATTTTGAAAAGTACCTTCGTGTGACAGCCTTTAGCGGTTTTTTCTCACACTCGGCATCAGGAATTGTGGCTTTCTTGGATATATCACGTTGGCACTGCACATTTGGATGCACTTCACCCAAAACCCGGCGAGTCATCAATCTCTTTCCTTTAGGCAGGACCACTTTCGACTTACTTTTGTTTTCGTCCTGTTGATTAATCTAGCCCAAAAATACACTTGTACCGATCCCATTTGCCATGATAAAATTGTATAAATTAAACGAAGATATACTGCTTTCTTACCGTAGACCTGCTTTGGTTTTCCATCGTGGCTAAGAATTAAGCCACGATGGAAAAACAGCACATGGAATCAATAATCCTACAAAGCTTCTTCGATTATTTATATGAGCAGTATAAGATTAACGATAGTAGTGCGATGAACACTTGATATTTTGCCGCTCTCGATCCACTCGAATGAAGAGACGTTACTAGAATGACTTTAGGAACAGCTTGAAAATAAGGGAAATAATAAAGACAAAAATGACATAGACAAGTTATAGAACAAATGGGTTTGTGCCCCTATGATTGGCTCTTGTGCGATGAAAGAAATGGAATAAAATCCTCTTAATTTCCTTATAGAAATTACTATAAAAATAATAATAAGTTCATTGTGCAAAATTTGGTATTAAATTTTTAAGTAATTACGTATTTTGGTAAATATAATAAACCTCCTTTTATAAAATTGTTTTGATTAAAAGAAAGTAAGCCATAACCAAGATCATTAGGATAAAAAATGTTACCTGTATTAAATATTATTTTTATCTCTATAGATTTAATAAAAGATATATAAGGTGATTTAATAAAGTTATTATAAGTTCGTAAAAAAAATATTGAGCTCTTTCTAATTATTTAAGGTTGACATGGGTATAGTCCTATTTTATATACCTGCGACCGTGACGTGAAAAAAAACATACCTAAGACAAAAGCATAGCTTTTGCTACTGGTTAAACAATGAAAAACATATACCTATAAGTTCTAGAAGAAATCAAAAAACCAAAACATTAAAATGTAAGAATTACATATTATAATACAGATCCTTGATTCTATATCATAATCTGTGATTCAACACATGTTTGACATTCTCAACACTCTGCTTCTTTAGTCTGTGCTGTGTTGAGTTGAGTCTGCGGTATATCCCGTCATGTTATTATTTTAATTTTGTTCACTAGTCGAGACTTACGATACAGTTTCTAGTTGAAATTATTGATTAAAGTTACCCGTTGTTTATAAGGACTAGTGCACAATTCGTGAGATAATGATAATTTTAGGGTTTGACCCTGAATTTTCTGTAATGTGTGTAAATTTACTCCTCTTTTTAACATGTGTAACCTTAAAAGAGATTTCTTTAAAATGGTGCAAAAAGGGCCACGTTCTCTTGTTCTCTGCGGCCCATCTGGTTCGGGAAAGAACACTTTGTTAAAGCGTTAACTAAAAGAATTTCCAGACAAATTTGGTTTTATGTTAAGATGTCCTCGACCCGCCGAAAAGGATGGTGTACACTATCACTTCGCTACGAAAGATCAAATGTCGGCAGCCATAACAAAGGGTGAATTCATAGAAACAGCGGTATTCAGTGAAAACATGTATGGAACCAGGTCTGGTTTGCTTACTTCTCATACCATGTGCAAAGCTTGTTGTCTTGTTTATTGGCAAATGTCCAGTTACTGACTATATTCCAAAGGTCATTGCTTATAACTTTAAGAACACTCAATTACTCATGTTGAATTGGGTAACGTAGGCGCTGCATCTCACTTGAGATTTTTCTTACTATTCTACTTAAAAATATTTGTAAGTAGAAAGTACATTTTAACAATCCTGCCTGTGTTTCCAAGTCGCATATGTTTTTTTCAGTAAGAAAGCAGTTGAAGCCGGCGAACTGGGAGAATATGTGTTCTCGATATTGAAATTGAGGGTGTGAAGCAGATTAAGAGGACAGATTTGGACCCTGTGTTAGTGTTCGTAGTGCCTCTGTCCATTGCGGAATTTGAAAGGCTTCTTCGTAATCGCAATACAGAACAAGAAGAAGCATTGCAAAAAAGATTACAGCGGGCTCTCCACGAGATTGAATATGGTAGTTTTATTGGTTAAACTGATATATCGCGTTTTAAACTGTTAAAGTGTTTTATTTAAATGTGTACTACTCGCGTAAACTATAGACAGTAGTTAAGTGCCATTTTAAAAGAAAAAGGAAATGGCACTTGTATATGTATTGTAATCTCTTTGTGTTGTTTTTTGTTATGTACCCTAAAAATTATTTTTAATGAAGCAGTTGAAAAATATTCCGATAATAATGTTTACTGGCTTTAAATCTCAGCTATGGATTAACAGTCTATATGTCTATATGAATTTATTATTAGCATAAGGTATTTAATGTTTCAGGTAAACAACCCAGAAACTTCCACATTGTTATTTTAAATGACAATCTAGACGAAATCTGTTGATAATCCCTTTTTGTCGTGTAATTTAAAAAAGTATTCTGTTTTGCAATAACTATTTAAGCCCTGTGCCCTCTCTGCTGATGTATAATGCGTGATAAACTGCTATTTTACTTACATTCCTGTACAACTCCATTTACAGAAACAATGCTTAGTATGAGCCATAATCTCATGTTTGATTAAAATATAAATAGATATTATCTGTGATCCCGCCCTAAGCTTGTACCCAAGAGTGTTCTATCTCATAGAAATTGTACACCTCAGCATAATAGTATGTGTATGTACTACGTAACAAATGCACGAAATCATGTTACTTTAAATAAGAACCTTTGTTGCATGTGAAACATAAAACACAATGTTTAATATATAAAACTCCATACGGTATTTTAGCTATAACAAAGCCTGTTTATGGATCACAAAGTGACATTCACCAGTTAGAAATATAATATGTTAACTGTAGAACACCACTGACAAAATTGGATATGATTTTAGGACAGTGAAGCCTTGCTGTAGTGTAGTCACTAACAAATTGTAGGATGTATTTTTAAAACAAGTACTTTGTCACTAACTTCCGCCACCAGCGCAATACTTGAAAGAATATCAATAGCACGAGTAGAAAAAGTATTATTTCTGCTAAAATACTTCTATAACGTAAATGTAACTAGAAGTAAAGGCATAAAAAACTACAATTACAATTACCAAGTTGCCAATGCACAAAAATCACTTTAGAGTCTGCTGGACGCGGTAGGTATACTTAAATGTAAGTCAAGGAGTAGTTATGTAAATGTAATCAATGAATAATAAAATGATTACGTTAAATATTAAAAATCTATTTAGACCAAAAAACGTACATACGTAGATGCTAAGTATTTACTGTATTGCTGTTAGGGTTGCAATGTTAAATGTTACACAAAAGGTATACTACTACCTAATCTAAAGAATCTTTGTGCCAAATTGTGTTATAGTCATTGCCTTACATTTTAACTGTGGCCTGAAGTTTTAAAGCCATCTTTTATTTAAGTGCTTTGGACAGTTCTTAGACATTCTCCTAATTATATTAGCCCTATATTAATAACAAAGCTAGTAGCATTGTTGTTTAACAGTTAGTAACATTTAAGAGCCTCCTACTTCAACTACTACTTCTATGTAACCGAGGACTTGTCATATGTTGCAGTTACAAAATATTTCGTTACCTTTTTGTTATGTCTTAAATAAATGATTTTCCAATTCCAAATATTATTTTGCATACACCACCCACTAATAATTGCAGAGTATTAGAATTCTCATTGAGTTACATTTTTCTTTATTAACACAATAGTTATAGGTCACCCAATCTAAGAAAATACAACCACGATATAGAATAAGACAACAACTGTACGAATATTTATAATAAAGTTATATAAATAAGTAAATATTTATTTCAGGACGATGCTACCCTCCTTGTCCCAATTATGACGATGGGAATTTGGCGATGTATTTTCACAGTCACCCTTGATTGCAGCATTTTTCAAAGAGACGAGTGCCAAGTGCCAATAGGAATACATTTGGTCTGTTTGGTCTAGATCAGCCTAGGAATATATGACACACGCTTTAACTTTTTGTGTTACTGTTTTATGTTTTTTTGAATCAAACAATGTATTTGTTGACTTGGATCGTCCCTGATTTTCAGTTTTGTTTTTGACGCAGGACAATGGTTTTCTAGAACCACTATTACTTGCAGATTTTGACTTTTTGGTGTAACATTTAAGTAATTGGAATCATCTTCATAAATGAGAATTCCATCAGAACTTTTACTGTCACCATTTGTCGTCTTTACGTCTGAATTATCATTTTGTAAATGTTTAATAGGAACTTGTTCTGCTTTGTCTTCAGTGGAAAGCTCGTCTTTCTTATGTACAACAATAGGTGTCCTATCAAGACCAACTGAAGGTGAGCGGGGATCACAATCAAGTATTTTAAAAACAGGGGCATGTCTTAATTCTGGGTTTAACGCACTTAATTGTAGATCTTTCACTTTATCATTTTCCATGAAGTCAAAATTTGTCTCTAGCAGCACAGTCGGCGTTAAAGAGTTGCTGGATATATTTTTCTCGATAGCTTCCTTTGAAGCAGTCGATGAACCCAGCGGCTCTTCTTCTTTCAAGCTATCACTGAGGCTCATATCATTACAGTGATAGCAAAGATTTTTTGGTATTATTTCAGGGGATGTGTAAGAATCTATATCTATATTTGGAAGATTCGGGCTGCGACAGCTACCTAGCAATATGTTTTGTACCCCTTTACACTTTTCTTCTCTTGACGAAATTATAATAGGTGTTAGTTCAAATTCTTGGGTAGGGCATGGAGGATCTAATGATTGCCGATGGTTCTTGATAACAGAATAATATTGGATTAATGTGAACAAGTTCGTTAACATTAATTGTTGTAAGGTTACAGAAGACCAGTGTTGGTAACTTTTAGTACAAGTTTATTTGGGATACCAGTTACCAATTGGCTGTCTTGTGTATATTGTTAATTTTGGATGACTGTATTATTTTAATATGTGTATGCTTAAATAAAATGTTTTTTCTTTGATAACTACAAATATTAGGATCATTTAAAAAACATTAAATAACCGTATTACAAAAATACCTGTAGTGGAGTTGGAGTTATTTCTACGCGTGCGAGGATCTGGATGGCTGCTCACGTCCTTATTTAAAACATCACTCTTTTGGTTGCTACATCAGTTTTATTAATATTACTACCCATTTTATTTGTATACTGGCAATATCACAACAACAAAACACGCTTTCTACGTTTATATATGTTGGAGTTTATACATATTGATATCGGCTGGCAACACTTGAATGTTTATTTGAAATTCACAGGATATTGTTTTCTGAAAGAAAACTGCTATAAATACTTCTTTATAAGTCACTCAATTTCCTAAGAAGATATGTAGCTGCTATGGCTACAATACAATTACTAAACAGATGTGAATAAAACATCTTTAAAGCCATATACATTTTATTTTCTTTTACTTTATAATAACAGGTTATGGGCCCAGTGGGCTAGAATAAATATAAATTAAAATATATGTAATGGCAACTAATATAAGAGTCGAGCCCTTAACATAAGTAAAGCAAGTAACGAGCTATGGACAACTCGAAAATATTTACGAAAAGCGACTTTACTTAAAGAATTACTTTTGCGAAAGATGTTGGATGGCGATAATATAATTGATCACCTTAATAAATGTATGAATAACGTCGATAAACTAGGTGACATGGGAATAGAAATAAATAATGATCTATTGAGCATAATGCTACTATACAGCCTCCCGCAATCATTTGATTTTTTTTTAAATGTGAGTAATGAACAAAGAACTAGTGAATTACTAGAAGTTCTACATAGTGATGTATGCGGTCCAATGAGAGTTGGAACAATAGTTGAATCAAAAAAAATATTTCATAACATTGATCGATGATTATAGTAAATATTGTAGAATATACACAATAAAAATAATTTTTCCATGTTCTGGGGGTTGCTGTGGCATACACCAATGACGATCTTGGGTATAGAACAAAATGTACTTTTAAGGGAAAGAGTATATGGTATAAATATTTAGGTTCTCGTGCAATATAAAAATGAATCATTCTTAATTATCTTCGAGAATCGTTTTACTTGAATAGCATCGACTTAACTTCCTAATAAGAGCTAAAACTATTTTGATTCATTAAAAGTTGCATTTCACCGTGGTTAATGTTTTTTAAGGTAAAGTCATAGTTTAGGTTCATAACCTAGCATGTGTTAAAAAACCCCGAGGGAATCTACCTTTGCACGTCGGAATGTCGCCGTTCCAAATTAGATTATCTTTGCAAGCCAACGCCGGCTTCCTTTTGAATTCCTTTGGAACAGGACAAGACTGAAGGATAACATTAATTTGCATTTTACAAAGCCGTAACACCTGCCGAAAAAATAATAAAAAAATAAAACGAGGACATCTCTTGTTAAAATTAATAATCACCGTTTATAGGAATAATTTGTCAATATATGAAATAATTATCACTGTTGTAGTTATATATACTTACACAGTTAATTGTTAGTATATGTATTTTGTGTTTGCGATTTGTTGGAGGGTTGTGGTCTACTGCCCCCGCAGTGACCAGGCGTGTTGGGGGGGAGAAAAGTCAAAATATGTCTTTGTATTTCTTTCTCAGTGTCTGAAGACGTAGCTACCTATTGGGTGCGCTAATTTCCCTTTGCCATGTAGTTTTCCATCGAGCATTGTCCTTTAAAAGTAGTGTTGTTTACTTTATTGTTCTCAGTTTTTTAGTATTTTTTTTGGCTGAGCTTCTACGTAGCTTGATAGGTAATTTGGATGATTTTCCGGTGGCGTAAGTTCTAAGTTTCTTTTATTAGTTAATTTATTTGATTTTGGTGTTTGAGGCCCGAGGTTTTTGTCACGTACAACGAGACGGGCAAAAAGATTCTGGAGTGGAGACCACGTACCGGACCTCCTACCAGGTGGCCCGACGACCTGGTCAAAGTAGCAGGGAAACGCTGGATTCAACTGGCAACTGGGGAGGCCTATGTCCAGCAGTGGACACTGAATGGCTGAATCAAAAAACAACAAGACGATCGTTATTTAAATATGCAATTTTCTCTGATTTCTTTCCGACTGTCTGCAATGCAATGGATGTCTGCAAATTATTTCTGATTTCTAGGATTTTTGGGGGAAAATCTTCCTTGAGATATATATATTTTTATTCTTCAAGAGAGATTTTTTTTTCGTAACAGATATTTTTTTACCTAGGGTTGCAAATGTAGCTACGATTGGCCTAGATTTGTCATCCGCTCGTTTACCCAACCTTCTTATAAGTTCCAGATAGTTTTTGCTGACTTCTATTTCTAAATAATTCTTTATGACGTTTATTAATCTTTCTGCTAAATGTTCGTATAATTTTTCTGCTTCTTCTATACCAAAAAATACAATGTTTCATATTCGTCGTTACTTTTTTAATCTTACACATTTCTTCCTCAAATGTTAGAGAATTTTGAGTCTATATGTTTATTAATTCGTTTAGTCGTTCTTCCTTCTAATTGCTCGAGACCGATTTGCGATTTTTTCGAGTGCGGTAGCGGCGTTGGTGGAAATGGTTCGGAACCCACGAATGGCTTTAATCTGGAAGTTTCGTTGTAAGCTTATTTTATTTTATTTTTGACGGAACATTTTCTCCCCATATATTAGCAGCGTAAGTTATTATTGGTTGAATTACTTTGTTGTAAATGATGCTGATATTTTCCGGGTTGGGCCCCCCAGGTGGGTCTGAATTTTTTGGAAGATTCTTAGTACTTTATTAGTGATGTACGGGATATGGTCGTTAAAGATAATTTTGTTGTCGATAATAAGACCTAAGTACTTAAATGAGTTGGTGAAGCGAATGGGAGTATTGTCGAATAAGATTGAAGCCTAGCTAGCTAGTAGCTTTTGGCGTAAATGAGGTGCATTGAGTTTTTGTGGGACCAAATTGTAATTTAACGCTATTGCCCCATACGAATGTTTTCAACTGCTGCGTTGAGGGCGAGTTCTAATGCTTGTAAGTCGTTTGCTGATGCGATCAGAAAGACATCATCAGCGTAGGCTCGTATGGTGCACCCTAAAGGTAGATTAGTGTTACTAAGGAGGTCGTTCATGTTTAGCTATCAAAGTGAACTTGCCAAAACAGCTAATCTTATTTATATAGCTTTATTCTCTAGAACTAAAATAAACTTAAGGTTTAAATTCAAATTTTTCTATACTACTAAAAAGCAACAAATTCACAAAGCAAATTCGATTACACGCACTTTTGCTATATATTTTTATCAGGCGCTATAATTTCTAAAGAATAAATCGTTTAAAAATTGTGTTTCAGCTAAACACAATTTGTTATATCGAACGAAACTTTCAAAAATAGCTAATCTTATTTCGTTTGTATAGAAATTCGTGGTTTTTGGAGCTAGAACAATGAAACTTTCTTCTTTTGCTTTTTGGCAATAGGAACGGGAAGGAGACTGGAAGTGGGAGTGGGAGTGAGAGTAAGAGTGAGTGTGATTGAAATCGGCTGTTTCGTGTTTGACAACAAGTGCCTTGGGTTGATGTGTACTACGCGCATTGTTGGTATCGGAGAGGAAAAGGGTTTATAGCAAGACAAACAGTTTGGACTTAAATTATCTTGGTGTTTGAGTGAAATCCGCAAATAATCACTAAAGAAAGTGCAAGTGTTTTGGCAACTTTCTTAAGCGGAGTTAAAACCTAACACTAAGTGTATAATAGCGCCATCTGGTGATTCACATTTGAATTTGAATACAGAATCAATTATTCCAACGACATGCCCAATCAATTCAATAAATGTATGTGATGTGTGCGAATTTCTTTGCGATTGCTCCAGATGGCGTTCGATGCATAGACTGTAATTTTCACTAGCATAAAGATTGCCCAAAAGCAGTAAGTCCAAGTTCGAAAAAATGCTACAAGCCGTGTCTGATAGCTCGCTCGAAGAGTAATCGAGATTATGTTGCTGCTAGCAGCATACCTTATAACGATGCGACTACGGCCGGCGATGTTGGTTCTTTAGCATTATCATTTTATTAGGTTAGGTTAGGTTAAGTTAGGTGAGTTTAGGTTAGGTTTTTTTTTATTCCTACTAGGCCTACCCTCCGGCGAAGTTATCTCCGGGCTGTGGATTATCGAAGCTAATTATTTTCCTTTTTAAAATTTTCATTAATAATGTTTCTATATTTATGGTATGTATGGTGAAATGTAAGTGTTGTGTGTTATGCTTGGTTGGTGTTAGTGTTTACATGGTTTTGAACTTTTCTGTCAATATTCAATAATATTGTTCAGTAAGTTGTTACAATGTGTGTGTTTCTGTGTGAGGTTACTTAATTGTTGTTCCTTTGTATTAAAGGTTTGCGCAATTTAGTTAATTTTGTGTATGTGAGGTGTGTGCATTTGGGGGGGGGGGGGGGGGGGGGGGGGGGGGGGGGGGGGGGGGGGGGGGGGGGGGGGGGGGGGGGGGGGGGGGGGGGGGGGGTGGGGGTTGTTTTGGGGGGGGGGGGGGGGGGGGGGGGGGGGGGGGGGGGGGGGGGGGGGGGGGGGGGGGGGGGGGGGGGGGGGGGGGGGGGGGGGGGGGGGGGGTTTGGGGGGTTGGGGGGGGGGGGGGGGGGGGGGGGGGGGGGGGGGGGGGGGGGGGGGGCCCCCCCCCCCCCCCCCCCCCCCCCGCCGGGGGGGGGGGGGGGGGGGGGGGGGGGGGGGGGGGGGGGGGGGGGGCCGGGGGGGGCCCCGGGGGGGGGGGGGGGGGGTTTTTCCCGGGGGGGGGGGGGGCCCCGGGGGGGGGGGGGGGGCCGGCAAAAGGGGGGGGGGGGGGGGGGGGGTTTTGGGCCCCCCGGGGGTTCCCCCCGGGGGGCCCGGGGGCGGCCCCCCCCCACCGCCCGGGAGGAGGTGTTTTTGGTTGTTGGGGGGGGGGAAGGAACTTTTAAAAAAAAAAATTCGATTTAAAAGTCGAAAATTTTTTCAATTTATTTTCGATTTTTAAACTAATAAACGAATATTGGTAATTTATCAATTATCAACAAATTATAAATTATTGTAGTATATATACTACTAACATTTCTCAAAGTTAAATGGAAAACAGAATCACTATTCGGTATCCGGCCGAATAGTGCGCAACTATCCGGTATTCGGCCGGATAGTAAAATAATGGCCGGATAGGCCGGATACCGAATAGTAACCGGATATCCGTTGCATCTCTAATTAATTGTATCGAATTTTAGTGTGTGTGTGTGTGTGTGTGTGTGTGTGTGTGTGTGTGTGGTGTGAAATCCCGTATCCCCCCTTGCGGGGAGTGGGGAGAATACATTTCTGGACGAACGGCTAAATAAGTAGTGGACACTTACTGCGAGTTTTCATCTAAAGCGCGTGCTCCGTTAAGTCCCTCCATTTAAACGGTCGACGTAAGGCTTCCATTTGGCGGCGTGGATACAGATAAGTGTCGTGGGGGATGAGGGCAAGATGACTCTCGTCCGTATACGTTGGCTTGGCATATATCTGCTGCTATAAGTTAAACATATAAATAAGGGGGGGTTCCCCACTTGATTGATAACAAGATTCAATACGAGAAACGTTCGTGCGTGCGTTTGGGGCGTTACTAGAGACGTTCGCGCGACACTCGATTCACTCACTTCTTCAACTTCAACCTCACTGCAGTGGGTGTAGGTTATTTTATCTGGATTGATGAACTATTTATTTAGTTTTCTATGTCTATCTATCACTTTTGTTTGTTTAAATAGATATATGTAATTAACAAATCGAACAGTTACGATGCTTTATGTTTCGTTTAAACCAAAAATCGAAAAAGCCAAAAATTTTACGTTTCCTTTTAAAATTTCATCTTCAATGTCGATGTCAATTAAATGTCAATCTAACGTATTTTATATATATAATAATAATATTGTAAAGAGGAAATATGTGTATTTTTGTATTTTTTTTTTCTATGTAACGGATAAACAAAAAAAAAAAAAAGTACTGGACCGATTATAATAAATAAATTCATTTTGTCATCATTTCAGAAAGCTACGATTTATACATTTATATTTTATTACATATTCAAGACCGTCTCAATACCTGATGATTACTATTTTAATTTAATTTATTGAAATCGGACATTCCATTCAAAAGATATCACGAAGTTAAAATAAAAATGCATGCGCATGCATTGAGTATCTAATTCGACGATAGATTTCGATTTTTATGTTATGTTTTTGTTTTTTTTTTCTTTTTTTACATTTTCACGCTTCACTTAAAAAGTTCTTAGATAGATATTTTTTTTAATCATTTAGGCTGTTTGTTAATTTATGTAATTGCGCATTTATCTCAGCCAATCTATGTTGTAAGTGCTACTTTACCGCAACACTCTCACCTCACATCACTCATACTCCCTCCCACTAGATAGACAAAGTTCGTTAACAGCTAGGACGCGAAATACAATTTTTTTTTTTCTAATTTAGTGATTCGTAATGGTCGTTTTAATTACCCGTGCGAAGCCGAAGCAGGGCCGCTAGTATATAATATGAGAGCGGTAGAGTGACGTCGCCCGTACATTCTGAACGTATTGAGGTTGAGGTAAGGATTAAAAATATGAAAAAAAAAAAAAAAAAAAAAAAGAAAAATTATAAATAATTAATAACAACAACAACAACAACAACAATAAAACAATAATAATATTTAATATATACAAAACGCACAAACGTAAAAGATAACAAATACGAATAATGTATACACACAAGTGGACGAAAAAACAGCGCGAAGCTCCCTCGTGGCGGGAGAGTGAAGCGCACGAGAACGTCGCGCTTCGCGTGCCGAATGGTATGTTTCGTTTGTTTATAATAAATAGTAGTATAGTAGTATAGTAGTAGAGTAGTAGAAGTAGTAGAGAGAGAAGAGTGTGTTGAAGAAGAAGAAGAAGAAGATTTGTTGTGTTTTTGGGTAATGTAATAATAATAATAATAATAATATTTGGTAGTTATTTTCTAGTTGAAAAGTTTTAATAATAGTAATTAGTAGAGTAGTTGTTCTAGTAGTAGTAGGTAGTAGTAGCAGTTGTTTGTTGACCACTCTCCGACCGCGCTCGCACCGTGTCCACCGACAGGCGGCGTTCGTAATGCACTTACGAGCTGTCAAGTCTCCGCCCGTTCAAACGGTGGTATTATTATATAAAATCGGATGTAACGCGGGGAGAGAGAAAATCTCCCCCGCCGCCGATGAGAGAAGAGACAGAGTGTTTACGCACGACGCATCATCAACCACACTGAATTGCGGCGTACTACTCTCTCTCGTTCGTTACCAATGAGGGCGTGTCGCCTCTCGTTCGCGTAGTGATTGAAAATCCCTCCATCACCGGGCTACGATTCGAATGTTAATCGAATCGAGAAATCGACAATAATGCCAACCGATTCATAATCGCTTGTCGCTCTTGATAAGACGACAAGAGTGGAAATTTGGGCTTTTTTTCGTGTATTCTTAACGTTCACGCCGATAGCGAGAGTTTTACATCTCTCCTCGTCTGTCGATCGGCCGTTTCGTCGTTGAGATATACGACGACTCGCCGCCCGCGAGACAATTGTGTGCGGAGGGAGTGAGGAGGAGTAGTGGTGTTGTGCATGCACTGTACTACTACATCGCATCACACACCCACCCAATCCAACCCGCGCGCGCCGCCGCACACAACAAAAGACGATAAAATAATATAAAGACACACGCGCACACAACGTCTCTCCCGTGTGTGTGTTAGCGTGTCGTCGAGAGTTTTCGATAGCTCCCTGGTTGATCCTGCCAGTAGTTATATGCTTGTCTCAAAGATTAAGCCATGCATGTCTCAGTGCAAGCCGTATTAAGGCGATACCGCGAATGGCTCAATATATCAGTTTTGGTTCCTTAGATCTTACTCGGTTACTTGGATAACTGTGGTAATTCTAGAGCTAATACATGCAATCAGAACTCTGACCAGTGATGGGATGAGTGCTTTTATTAGATCAAAACCAATCGGCGGAGGGCCTCGCGTCCGAAGTCGTTAATTTTGATGAATCTGGATAACTTTTGCCGATCGCACGGTCCAGTACCGGCGACGCATCTTTCAAATGTCTGCCTTATCAACTTTCGATGGTAGTTTCTGCGACTACCATGGTTGTCACGGGTAACGGGGAATCAGGGTTCGATTCCGGAGAGGGAGCCTGAGAAACGGCTACCACATCCAAGGAAGGCAGCAGGCGCGCAAATTACCCACTCCCGGCACGGGGAGGTAGTGACGAAAAATAACGATACGGGACTCTTACGAGGCCTCGTAATCGGAATGAGTACACTTTAAATATTTTAACGAGGAACAATTGGAGGGCAAGTCTGGTGCCAGCAGCCGCGGTAATTCCAGCTCCAATAGCGTATACTAAAATTGTTGCGGTTAAAAAGCTCGTAGTTGCATTTGTGCGCCGCGCTGTCCGGTGCACCGCGTCAGCGGTGATACTGACACGTCTGCGGAGCATATCGTCGGTGAGCCGGCGGTTAAACGTCGGTTCAATATCAAAATCCTATCGCGGTGCTCTTCAATGAGTGTCGAGGTGGGCCGACAATTTTACTTTGAACAAATTAGAGTGCTCAAAGCGGGCTCAAAATGCCGCTTGAATATTTCGTGCATGGAATAATAGAATATGATCTCGGTTCTATTTTGTTGGTTTTCAGAACTCCGAGGTAATGATTAATAGGGATAACTGGGGGCATTCGTATTGCGACGTTAGAGGTGAAATTCTTGGATCGTCGCAAGACGAACATCAGCGAAAGCATTTGCCAAAGGTGTTTTCATCAATCAAGAACGAAAGTTAGAGGTTCGAAGGCGATTAGATACCGCCCTAGTTCTAACCGTAAATATGTCATCTAGCGATCCGCCGACGTTACTACAATGGCTCGGCGGGCAGCTTCCGGGAAACCAAAGATTTTGGACTCCGGGGGGAGTATGGTTGCAAAGCTGAAACTTAAAGGAATTGACGGAAGGGCACCACCAGGAGTGGAGCCTGCGGCTTAATTTGACTCAACACGGGAAATCTCACCAGGCCCGGACACCGGAAGGATTGACAGATTAACAGCTCTTTCTTGATTCGGTGGGTGGTGGTGCATGGCCGTTCTTAGTTGGTGGAGCGATTTGTCTGGTTAATTCCGGTAACGAACGAGACTCTAGCCTGCTAAATAGGCGTCGTCATTTAGGTGTGCGCGGCTCGCTTTGTCGGGTCGTGCAGCTCACTGGCGGCGTATTAAAATTCTTCTTAGAGGGACCGGCGGCTTCGAGCCGCACGAGATTGAGCAATAACAGGTCTGTGATGCCCTTAGATGTCCTGGGCCGCACGCGCGCTACACTGAAGGAATCAACATGTTCTCCCTGGCCTAGAGGCCCGGGCAACCCGTTGAAACTCCTTCGTGCTGGGGATTGGGGTTTGCAATTATCCCCCATAAACGAGGAATTCCTAGTAAGCGCGAGTCATAAGCTCGCGTTGATTACGTCCCTGCCCTTTGTACACACCGCCCGTCGCTACTACCGATTGAATGATTTAGTGAGGTCTTCGGACCGACACGCGGTGGCTTCGCGGCCGTCGGCGTTGCTGGGAAGTTGACCAAACTTGATCATTTAGAGGAAGTAAAAGTCGTAACAAGGTTTCCGTAGGGGAACCTGCGGAAGGATCATTAACGTTGCGTTCAAAACACACCACCACCAACCACTGCGGCGTGTGTGCGTTGTTTACGTAGAGAACGTTTTCGATCGATCGAATTAATCGAATCTCTCGACGCCGATATACACGAACGAACGAACGAACGAGTATTAAGTGTCGAGTGATTCGCGAAGATTATGTGTTATGCACAGAGATAATAAATAATATCATACATAATATACAACCACAAAACGCTACAACAGCTAAACGATTACCCTGAACGGTGGATCACTTGGCTCGCGGGTCGATGAAGAACGCAGTTAACTGCGCGTCATAGTGTGAACTGCAGGACACATTTGAACATCGACATTTCGAACGCACATTGCGGTCCGTGGAGAAATATCCAGGACCACTCCTGTCTGAGGGCCGGCTTGCATGAAAACGATACACACGCACGTGTGTAACAAATTGCCGCACTGTTCGTGTACGCGCGCGTGAGCGCACGTCACGAGTCGCCTGACGGTTTCGCGCCTCCGCGTGTTCGCTCGCGGAGCGCGCGATCCGTTCGAATATACACACGAATCACGTGTTGTTTTTTATTATTGTTCGCGACTCGCCGACCGCCCGCCGCTCGTGTCGCGGTCGACGCTCTGCCGCCGCTCTAATGCAGAGCAGAGCGGCAGCGGTGAAACGTCACAACAGCAACGAACGACAACACACACACGTCTCCAACGACGACGACGACGACGACGACTACGACGAATAATACAATTCGAACGGGGTCGACGACGACGACGACGACGGTGGTTATTAAGTACGTGGTGTGTGGTTGATGTCTTCGCGAAGTGTGCGCTTGCGCCGTGCGCGTCGATTTGAGCGCGCGCTGCTTTCGAGCGGTCGCGCGTGTCGCATATAATAATAATAATAATAATAACAATAATGAGAATAATGAAAAAAAAAGAGAGTCGCGCGTAGGCGGACACGACGTCCGAAGGGCGCGCCGCGCTCAGCGCGATCGCGCGCCGACGGATATCGCGTCTGCCTCCCACTTTTTTTGTATCGTTGGCCTCAGATCAGGGAGGATCACCCGCCGAATTTAAGCATATTAGTAAGCGGAGGAAAAGAAACTAACAAGGATTCCCTCAGTAGCTGCGAGCGAACAGGGAGGAGCCCAGCGCTGAATCCCGCGGTCGTCTCGATCGCGGGAGATGTGGTGTTCGGGAGGTTCCGCTTTCTCGCGCGTCCCGCTCTCGTCCAAGTTCGTCTTGAACGGGGCCGTTTTCCCGCAGAGGGTGCCAGGCCCGTAGCGACGGGGCGAGCGCGCGAGAGGGACGCTCCTCAGAGTCGGGTTGCTTGAGAGTGCAGCCCTAAGTGGGTGGTAAACTCCATCTAAGGCTAAATATTACCGCGAGACCGATAGCGAACAAGTACCGTGAGGGAAAGTTGAAAAGAACTTTGAAGAGAGAGTTCAAGAGTACGTGAAACCGTTCAGGGGTAAACCTGCGAAACTCGAATGAACGAACGGAGAGATTCATCGTCATCCCGCGGCGTACTAGTGCGCGCCACGATGCCGGCGTCCCGCTTCGCGGCGACGACGCTAGCACGGGACGCACGTGTCGACGCTCGCGGGCGGCGTGCACTTCTCTCTCAGTAACTAAACGACATCGCGACCCGTTCGCGCCGTCGGTCTAAGCCCGGCGACCTGGAGCCGGGCGGCCGTCGTCCCCTCGCGGGGCGCGACGCGCCGCCCGACCTGACCGCCGGTGCCGACCGACCGCGGACGGTATTCGGCCATTGTGCATACGAATCGCGCACGTGCAATCTTTGCACGCACGTCAGGCCCGACGCAAGCGTTCAATATGATGCGCGTCGTCGCCCGTGCGCCTGCCGTAGCGCGGACGCGGGCGCGGCGCCGCTGTTTTTTCGTAGCAGCCGTGTAGCCTTTGACAGTGCGCGTGTCGTGTCTGCGATGTTCTAAGTTTCGGGCACTCGCAGGACCCGTCTTGAAACACGGACCAAGGAGTCTAGCATGTGTGCGAGTCATTCGGTTCGTCGGCTCTAAACCGGTCGACTGAGATAATAATATTAGACAAAACCGAGAGGCGAAACGAAAGTGAAGGCGCGCGCTAGCCGCGCGCTCAGGGGGGATGGGGCGGTGTCGCCGCGAGGTCGCCCGCTCCCGCACCCCCGAGGCGTCTCGTTTCCAATCAGTGAATGCAGGCGCGCTCTGAGCACAGATGCTGGGACCCGAAAGATGGTGAACTATGCCTGGTCAGGTCGAAGTCAGGGGAAACCCTGATGGAGGACCGTAGCGATTCTGACGTGCAAATCGATCGTCGGAACTGGGTATAGGGGCGAAAGACTAATCGAACCATCTAGTAGCTGGTTCCGTCCGAAGTTTCCCTCAGGATAGCTGGCGTCGAAGCGCAACAGTCTCATCCGGTAAAGCGAATGATTAGAGGCATTGGGGCCGAAACGACCTCAACCTATTCTCAAACTTTAAATGGGTGAGAACTCCG